CTTCGCGAGCTTGCTCTCCCCCGCGCGTCTCTCCTCGCTGGTCGTGAGACACAAAGCGAGATGTTCGTGTCAGTAGACCGCGCGACGTCGAACGTAGATGTGCACGCTCGCGGAGCAACGTGGAGATTACACGTGCGTGTCCGCCCATGTGCGTCGCGTTAGCCCGCGCGTTATCGAGATCCGTTCGTTTGTTGAGATTTCAAAATCTCGCGTGCTTGCAACTCGTACGTTCGCGTTAAAAGAGTCACGGTGCGGTCTCGCTTCTCGTGTACTCGGCGCGAGGCACAACCGTGTCTTGATATGTCGAAGGTATTTTCAATGCCTGATCCAATATCCATCTACTTGTTTCCTAACGTATTCTTTCGAATCGCGAGACTGTTTTTTTTTCTGTTTATATGTACTAGTGTTTACTTTGTTATATCTTAACCTTGTAAACAGGGGTCTCTTTATTCTCCCGCTCCAACGTTTTTACGTACAAAAGTATATCCTGTCCTTTGTTACCTTTTTTGTGTTATCAAGATCTCTTCCAAGCTCTTTATAAATTTATCAAAGATATAAGTTAAATTTTGGATCGTTAGACGTTGTAAATTACAAATGTGTATGCGAGCGTGTCGAAGTCACCAAAGGTCAAATGCGGGACAACAGTGGACTAAATTCTGATCCCTCCGCAGTTGGTGCAGTGGCATGGTCTAGAGGCAGAACGACATTTGTTCCGCTGTCTGTTCTCGAGCGTTGACTTTTCCAAGGGCGAGCCGTCAGATTCGAGTGCGAAAGATTATTTCCAAGCGAAGCTGTTGAAACAGGAGTGCAACAGCTTATTGAGCAAGCCTGCTTTTATATCTACTTTGTGCTTTGCTATAGATAATCCTTTACATCACCAAAAGGTATTTGTGAAAAATCATTTGTTATCATTTGTCGCAAATAGAGAGATCCATACGCTAATACTTCTGTATATTTTCAGTCACTGAATCCCTCCCCCAAGTTTTTTGTCAATTTGAAGAAAACACTTGGCCTGACCTTGGTACAGGAGGTTGCGTTTGCGATTGCGTTGCAGCACTCGGAGAACGCTGAACGTCGTTCTTTAGCCTTGGAGCATACTCAGAAGCAACTGCCTGAGCTGATAAAGAATTACATAAACTCTGAGACGAGTAGCAAGCATCACGAGGGTGGTTTGCACGACTCGTTGCCCCAGGTCCTTCATCTGATACTCAGCCAGGCTCTCCATACTGCCAATCCGTATAATCTACCTACGGAAACGAAAGAAAAGTTTCTTAAACATTTACGACGCGACTTTCCCCGCGAACTGGTGCCAGTGGTGCTAGCACCATTCCTGTATCCGGAAGACGAGGAAACTCTGCAATTCAACATCGAGTTAAACATGGCCGTCACTCAGATGGTAGTTAAACATCATTATTTATTTGTAACATTGTCAGTAATTTATAAAATTATAATTACGATACATTTACGTTTTTTTTTTTTTTTAATTTCAGGATAACAACACTCTTGTAGAGTTGATTATGGAATTAGGATATAGCTTTACTAGTAGCATAGAAGAATGTCGATCGTCGTTAACGGGTTTAGGCCCCAGGGAGATATCCCCAGCATGTGTCGCTCGTGTGCTGTCACAAATGGCACGTACCTGCAGCAATCTCGACGATGCTGGAGGCCTACAAACGTTTTGGGGCAACTCAACTGCCTCGCAGGACTCCAATAAGGAGAAATCATCGGACAGTACCATTCCCACAACATGGAACATTGAAATATTCGTTCTAACACTGAAAGAGATAGTAAGTTCATGTCACATCTTTATAATTGATTAATTTTGTACCTATGAAAGATTCATTTTTTACCGATGAACTAAATTATACGTAATGCAGCTGTGACCAATATTATCTGTTTTTATCTTCCAGCAATCTACATTGTCTTGGAACGAGGTCATCGTGAAGTTAGATCATCCAGAGTTTATGATCAAGGACAGACAAAGCTTAAACTTACTGATTACGGGTCTCAAGCTGGGCCTGCAACATCAAGGATATCCGCCCGACATGTTTCCCGTTGAGCTCCTGTATCGGCACTGGGAAAATATAGACGGCCAATTTTCTCTAATTCAACAAATTCTCAAGTGCCCGGACATATTTTGCTTCGCTGATTATCCGTATCATTCGGTGACGGTCGATGTATTAAAAGCGGCTCCCGAGGCCGATAGCAAGGAAGGGCAAACGTGGCGATCCTTGAACATAGTCGAGTTGCTTTTACACATGGCCGAAAGAGGCTTGTTCACTCCTGTACAGGAGATCTTTAAATGGCCGCTCCAACATTGCCCGGACGTACTCATCTTGGCATTACTGCAGATCAATCCACCCTTCACAATACTGAGGCAGGAGATGTTCACTACGCTATTGCCGATCTTTCTTGGCAATCATCCGAATTCTGCTGTGATACTGCATCATGCGTGGCATTCAAATAATACTAAGATAAAGTCACTTATAATGCATGCTATGGCAGAATGGTATACGCGTGGTGATCATGATCAAACGAGATTATCGCGAATCTTGGATGTCGCGCAAGATTTGAAAGCGCTCTCCGCTTTACTTAATTCGCAGTCGTTTCCATTTGTCATTGATCTCGCCTGTTTGGCCTCTCGACGAGAGTATCTAAAACTGGAAAAATGGTTAACGGATAAGATCAGAGATCACGGTGAAGTTTTTGTCGCTGCATGTGTCAAGTTCCTACAACGACGATGCCCTCAAGTCATGGGCCCTGGTATCAAGGAAGATCCTACAGTTCCAAAGGCAAGCCAACTGCCGCAGGAAACACTCACTACAATCTTGGCTTGCTTACAAGTTTGCGCCGGGTATGTTTTTTTTTTCCGGAATTTATGTAGTTGATCAACATTTAATTACGCTGTAAGAATTACATCTGATTTTTCTGTTTTCATATATCGTAGAAGTCTCTCCCAAGAACTCTCGGAGGTAATAATGACAATGGTGCAGAATTGCAGTCTAATGCTGAGTAAGAGCACCATGAACAGACCACCACCGCCAGGAGTCCTGAGACATCGAGGATTAGAACCGTTCAATCCGGCAACTTTAGGAAGCCAAGTACTTTCACTTTTTCTTTCTATATTTATTCTTTTGTCAATAGATATGAATATTTATCGCGCAGTTTCTTTGTTTATCTCTGAATTTCTAACCTTTCTTTTTTTCTTTTTGTATTTGTTAAATTTTTTATTTGTTACTTAAATCTTACTTAAAATGATACGTTATAATGCGTACGTAACCATTTATATTAATGTTATCTTCCACAGTTATTTTCCTCAAAGCAAGTGGACTCTCTTGGAAATCTTGGTTCAAGTCTTGCTTCCATGGGTCTCGGCACGGGTCTTGGACCTCCAAGTAGCTCTGCGTTCAATTTGCCCGGCGCGCTAGGTCCTCTGGTCTCGGCGCCCGGATCTCCCTCACGACTCATGGGACCTTCTCCAAGTCCATTTCCTATGTTGCCGTTATCTTCGCAATTACATTCTGGTCCGGTTGGTACTCAGGGGCCGTCTGTCCTCCCGGGTGGTACAATAGGTGGACTGGGACGCCTCGGACCGCCAGCTGGTATTGAGAAAGCGAGAATGCCGGAAACCCCCAATTTGTTCCCAGACATGGGACAAAATGTCTCCAAAGAGGTCGAAGACGAAGCTAATAGTTATTTTCAACGTATATACAATCATCCACCGCATCCGACTTTGTCGATCGACGAGGTGCTCGACATGTTGAAAAAATTTCAAGACTCTGGTATCAGACGGGAGAGAGAGGTGTTTAACTGTATGCTGCGAAATTTGTTCGAAGAATACAGATTTTTCCCTCAGTATCCTGAAAAGGAATTGCAAATAACGGCACAATTATTCGGTGGAATTATCGAGAGAGGTCTTGTCAACAGTTACATGACACTTGGATTAGCACTGCGATTCGTTCTTGATGCGCTTAAAAAACCCGAGGGCAGCAAGATGTATTACTTTGGCATAACGGCTTTGGATCGATTTAAAAGTCGTTTGAAGGAATACCAAACGTACTGCGAACACGTTAGAACGATCCCGCATTTCAGCGAGTTCCCGCCTCACTTAGTGGAATATATAGAATATGGGTTACAAGGACAGGAACCACCGTCGAGACCGCAGGGCTCGAAAACTCTGGCGGCAATGCTGGCTCCGGTTACGACCCCGTACAAAACCATGACTACAACTACCGTCACAACTAGCACTACACAAGCGAAACCGTCTACGACTCCGACTACGTCTCTCACGGCTAGAGTAAGTTCAGTAATAAAAATTCCCGAGATTTTCCTCGCTTTCAGAATTTCAATCCGTACGTGTGTGACACATCGCGTTTTTTTTCCCACAGGCCTCTATGCCCTCGGTCGCCAATGCGACTAATATCGATACGTTGCTCGTGGCAACAGACAAGGAGGAAAAAATTACGACACCGCCGGAAGCCTTGCAGGACAAAACTGCTTTCATCTTCAATAATCTCAGCCAGCTGAATCTGCAACAGAAATGTGATGAGATTCGTGATATTGTTACGGAAGAGTACTGGCCGTGGATGGCACAGTACTTAGTAATGAAGCGTGCCAGCATAGAGTTGAACTTTCATGCCCTGTACTCGAACTTTTTGGATTGTATAAAATTACCTGAAGTGAATAAAATGGTCACGAGAGAAACATTCCGAAATATCAAGGTGGGTGAAATGAAGAATTTTGTGAATGCTTTCAGATAATTCTTCTATCTTATTTATATAGCTGTTATCTACATTTTATTTGATCATAGGTTCTCTTACGAAGCGATAAGGGAATAGCTAACTTCTCTGACCGATCGCTGTTGAAGAACTTGGGACACTGGCTCGGAATGCTAACACTCGGCAGGAATAAGCCTATTTTACAGGTATACTCTCTATGCAAATATCATGTATATTATAATTAATACAATTATGGGTATTGTATGAATTTTGTCACATTTTAATTACATTTTACAGATAGATATAGATCTAAAAAGCTTACTCGTTGAAGCATATCACAAAGGGCAGCAAGAGCTCCTTTATGTAGTACCTTTTGTTGCGAAAGTACTTGAGAGTTGTGCGAAAAGTCGTGTCTTCCGACCACCCAATCCGTGGACCATGGCAATTATGAACGTTCTAGCCGAACTACATCAAGAACCTGACTTAAAACTGAATTTGAAATTCGAAATAGAAGTACTTTGTAAGAATCTAAGCATCGATGTTGGAGTAAGTGTGCGCTACGTCTGTTCCGTTTTAACTACGTAACGTACTTGGCTATTTATTAAAACTGAGTTGTTGTTTTCGCGCAGGAGCTAAAGCCGGTCATTTACTTGAAAGATCCCGAAAAATTGCGCAATTTGGAATATCAGCTGTCGCATCCGAACAAGAAAGCGGAGACGACTAACAATCAACAGCAACCTCAGGGGCCTATAGAGGAGTTGGTTGGGCCGACAACAAGCGGCACCATCAATCCTCAAACTGCGCCACCCGTGAATACAACACCCTCGTTACCGGCTGGCCCACCCGAGCCACGATTCAATTACATGGATATATCTGTAACAGGCATTGCTAATATATCTCAACACATTACTGCCAACAATCAAGTATGGAAAAATTCATTCTTTTATACGAAATATTCTTATTTTTATTAAGCAAATTGTTAGGAATGATAAGATGCATATTAGATGTAGTTAGAGCACGGTTAGATTAAATCAAATATATAATTTGATATATATGGATGTTCGATATTTTATGGATGTATTACATGGGCTTTCAGTTACCTCTGTTCCAAACGCATCCTCATTTGAAACAATTCATTCGCCCGGCGGTTGAAAGAGCAATTCAGGAGTGGATCCATCCTGTTGTAGATAGGTCCATTAAAATTGCTCTTACAACCAGCGAGCAAATTGTGAGGAAAGATTTTGCGTTGGACCCGGAAGATGTACGAATGCGTACAGCTGCGCGTCACATGGTGCGCAATTTAACCGCTGGTATGGCTATGATCACATGTCGTGATCAGGTGAGTTTGCACCTGTTGCATCGCTACAAAGTTATAAAAATTGGCAAGAAGTTAAGAAATTTTGGACACGAAAAAAATTACTTTATCCAAATTATCATACATAACAAATATACTCTTTATTTGTAAGAGAACCATAAGTGATTTTGAAATAATCTTGAAGAATGAGTAATTTTAAATTTAAATTTGGATCTTTATTTAAGCATTTCAATAAAGTCAAATAAAACTCATTTTCAAGGAAGTTTTTCATATCTCCGATTCTAAAAAATCTAATGCCATTCAACCGTTTATTAATTTTTTATCTATTTCTGTATAGATCCTGGCATCAATTAGCACGAATCTGAAACAAGCCTTTCTCACGGCGTTAATCGGTACGACTCCGCAGCAGAAGGAACTTGTCGAACAAGCGGCGAGTGTAGTCGCTGCTGATAACATGGAACTCGCGTGTGCGTTCGTACAAAAGACCGCTATTGAGAAAGCAATACCCGAAATGGACAAACGGCTGTTGAATGAAATTGAGCTGCGAAAAATCGCCCGGCAAGAAGGGAAAAGATACTGCGATCCGATTGTTAAGTATCAAGCCGAGAGGATGCCGGAGCAGATAAGGCTGAAAATGGGTGCCGTAACGCCTCAGCAAATGGCAGTATATGAGGAATTTTCAAGAAATATTCCAGGATTCCTTCCGCTCTCCGAACGAGATACGCAAGCGCTCTTTATACCAAAACCTATTTCTGTAAGGGTCATTTGTTGACTTTGCATTAACATATCTGAAAGTTAACATATTCAGGATATGGAATCTCTCATTTGGGTTTTTCATTTCTTTATTATGTCCCGAAGGAGGCTCCTATCACCGCGTTCACACCCAATTCTGCGGTGGCAGTCGCTACGGCGCAACAAGTAGCGGCCTACGCAACTGTAGCAGTTAGCAACGACGAAATGGGCGCAATGTTGGAGAAACTTGCGACGGAAGTCGAGGTCTTATTGGCTGCCATGGCACCCGTGGCACCACCACCGCAGCACGCTATCCTTCACAGTCTTCTGGAATCGATCGTAGTCACGAGAAGATCAAGAGACGCCAATGCAGCTTTGGCATTATTAAAGAAAGTAAGTTACGCGAGTAAACTGTGATATTCAATCAAGTAAATCGTAAGATTGCAGCACGAACAGAACTTACCGGCGATTATATATTCCAGGCTGTCGAGGGTTTGCTAGACGGGCCCATGTTCAACAGCGGCGTCATCGATACCGACAGTCTAATACAACGCTACAGAGAAGTGCACTTACGGATCTTGAAGTGTCTTCAAGATCCGCGTGCATACGGCATGCAATGGACGAACAAGAACGTGACTCGTTGTCTGATCGAATGCCGGGAGGACTACCGGTATAATTTCGAAGCCGTGGACTACCTCATAAGGTACGATATCGGGTAAACCATATCCCTCGGGGAATGTCTGGAAGACATTGCTAACGGACGATATTATTTCGCAGATCTCACTTGATCAGTCTTCCCCAATACGACTTAGCTATAGCGCAAGCTATAGACTCGGGAAACGTGTTGGCAACGGTGTTCGCCATGCAGTTGGTTCAACTTTATTTGATTGACGAGAGGCAGGCGACTCATGTCACCGAAACTGACTTGTACCACACGATTGAGATATTGGCTCGATTGTCGGTTCACCGATCACTACCGGAAGGGTATTGTTACAAATATTAATTTCTGAAAACGTTTGACAATCGTACAAATAGCATAAACTGACGGCCTGACGGCTATTCTCACAGCACAAAATAAGCAAAGCGAGTGAACCCATCGCCGAAAAACGGCAGCAATAAGCCTCTTGCTTTTTTTTTAGAATGGATACGATATATTCATTAAGTTGTAAATATATTATACTTGTATTTGTTCAAGTATGTATAAATGTTTCACTATTTCAGAATCTCGGGCTTCAGATTGACAAATCTGGTCGAATCATTACGTGCCAATGTTGATTCCGGTGTGTTGGGAGACAGAGCTCCAGCAGGACCTACAGCGCACATTCATTCTGGAATCCTGCAGGTGAGAGTAAGTAGATTGTCCAGATTATTCAATCCAAGTAGATTATACCGGCGATATTTTGTACTGTGTTAACGATTGTTTATCGATATTTGTCGGTATCGCAGTTTTTTTTAAATTTGCGTGGTGTAATAGTTGGTGTCAGTTGAACGCTATGTTCTATTAATTTTCAGTCAGTCTTTGTTATCGTAAAGAATATTTTCCAATGATACCGACGAACATTGTTAACAAAGTACGAAATATGTCTCTCGGTATGTCGTAAGCCCTAAACGATTTTAACATGTGGCGTACATTCACTTTTTACAGGCTCGCGATTTCGACGATCCACCCGGACTGATGGACAAGACGGAGTATCTATTACGCGAATGGGTGCAAATGCACCATAATCCGCAGTACGCGCGAGATCCCACAAAAGCGTTTAGCATATTCGTCCATCAGATGAACATCCACGGCATCTTGAAAACCGACGACCTCATCACGAGATTCTTCAAGCTGAGCACACAAATGTGCGTCGACCTTTGCTATCGGACTCTTTCAGAAACTGGCTTAGCTCCCTCGATTATACGTGCGAAGTGCTTCCACTCGTTGGATGCGTTCGTACGTCTCGTAGCATTATTGGTGAAACACTCGGGCGACGCTAGTAATACCCATACCAAGATCAATCTTTTGAATAAGGTGCTTGGTATCGTAGCCGGTGTGCTGCTCCAGGACCACGAAATACGTGGCGCCGACTTCCAACAATTGCCGTACCATCGGATCTTTATCATGCTCTTCTTGGAGTTGTGCGCGCCCGAACCGGTTCTAGAGGCCGTGAATTTTCAAGTTCTAACCGCCTTTTGCCATACCCTACACATTCTGCGGCCAGCGAAAGCGTCGGGCTTCTGTTACGCCTGGCTAGAGTTGGTCTCGCACCGAGTCTTCATCGGCCGCATGCTGGCTATCACGCCACAGCAGAAGGGCTGGGGGATGTACGCGCAGCTCCTTATCGATCTGTTCAAGTACCTCGCACCCTATCTTCGAAATGCGGAGTTAGCAAAGCCTGTGACGAGTCTATACAAAGGGACGCTACGTGTGTTGCTCGTGCTGCTACACGACTTTCCGGAGTTTCTTTGCGATTATCATTATGGATTTTGCGATGTGATACCACCGAATTGCATACAAATGAGAAATTTGATTTTAAGTGCGTTCCCAAGAAATATGCGACTACCTGATCCGTTCACGCCGAATCTGAAGGTTGATATGCTGCAGGAGATATCGCACGCTCCGCGTGTCCTTACCAATTTCGCGTCTACGATACAGCCAAATTCCTTCAGGAAAGAGCTCGACTCTTATCTGAAGGCTCGCGCGCCGGTCACCTTCCTGTCCGAACTCCGCAGCAATTTGCAGGTGTCGCAAGAGGCCGGTGTGCGTTACAACATTCAGCTGATGAATGCCCTCGTGCTCTACGTTGGCACGCAGGCTATACAATTTATTCGCAGCAAGGGTCACACGCCTAACATGTCTACCATCGCGCACTCCGCGCACATGGACATCTTCCAGAATTTGGCCGTCGATCTGGATACCGAAGGCCGTTATTTGTTCCTGAACGCTATAGCGAACCAGTTGCGGTATCCTAACAGTCACACGCATTACTTCAGTTGCACGATTCTCTACCTATTCGCTGAAGCGAACACAGAAGCGATACAGGAGCAAATTACAAGGGTTCTTTTGGAGAGACTGATTGTGAACAGGCCACATCCATGGGGGCTTCTGATTACCTTCATCGAACTCATAAAGAATCCGACGTATAAATTCTGGTCGCACGAGTTCGTACATTGCGCGCCGGAGATCGAAAAGTAAGTCTTGCTTCCTAATTTTTTTTTAGAAATCAATTGCACCGAAATTATTTTAATTCTACCGGAAGGACATCATATATATTCTTAAAAAACAATCCTAACAAGCTTCAATTTTATCCGGCGTTAAATGTCAAATTTATATTGGTATCGTATCAACATTATTCACAACATAAGTATGTTGAATTGAAACTGAAATGAAGAATTTAATTTTGATACCGATTTCAATTTTGGGATTTTTTGGTAAAAATTGAATTCTCAACACAATGATCACACGTCGATCTAAAATATTGATAAAAGAAATAGAATTTAAAGTCTCGGCTGCATTTAGCACCGAATGTAGAATGTAAATTTGAATCCACAAGTCTTTAGCGTACAATTGATTGGGTGATTCGTTTTTTTTTTTATTTATATTTTAATTCAACATTCGTTATTGTTTCAGATTGTTCGAATCCGTAGCTCGATCGTGTATGGTGCAGAAGCAAATACCCACGGCGGAGACGGAGATTCCAGAGTGATAGAGCGTTTCACTCTTCAACTATCGCAGTGTGTACAGTAAAATGAAGGTAATGACTGAAGGTACTGCGTGTAAAAAGTTGTTGATGTAGCGATAAATCGCGCACCATCGCGTTTAAATTGTTGAGATGGGCAGATGCTGAATAATCGTAAATAAGTGTGCATCGATTTATATAATGTGTAAGTGAGACAATTATTACGTTAATTATTTTAATAAGAAGGAATACGTCGATTATAAGGGGAGCAAAACCTCATACACCTCACTAAACGTGTCTTTCGGACAATGTATTTCACACTGTGTATTATATATATATATAAACGACATTGTACACATGACACAAGTGTCAGTATATACATAATAAAGTGTATCGTGGTGGAACAAAAGCTCATGAAAATTAACAAATGGTGTTCAAACAAAAAGACGCAATTACGATGAGTATTTCTCGCGCATGCGTACGATTTATTGCAAATTTGTATTCCCGAAGGAAGGTGTATAAGCATTAGAATATGTTGTACAATGCGAGACAGATATTTGTAGAGAGAGATATACGCTTTAGAAACTATTATTTAAGTATACCATTTTGAAATCTGTGACATAGCGTAGGATACTAGTATATACATAGATATGGATTTTTTTAAGAGGAAGTAGTTACATAATGACACGAGAGATGACAGGCCCAATGTAATTTATTTACAAGATTCTTTGATCCTGAAGAATTTCTACTGCGACTTTTAGATTTTTCGATGTAGCAACTTTTGAGTGATAATTATTAAACGATTTATTCAATCTTTTGCTATATGTATATACATCGTTTGTACAGACTTTGAAAGCGTTATTTCTGAACGAGAGATTACACAGACTGTTGGTCGCGCGTGGCGTGATAAGCGTCTCTCTCTTTATCGGGAAATTTGGTCGGTAAATTCGGACTGTGCAAGTGACACTTTGCGGGGTACATGATACCCGCGACGTTCACTTCGTAATCGCCCGATAATATGTACTCGTTCGTCACCTCTTGCGGTTGACCTTTCGAATCGAAATTTTGTACAAATCCAAGGCATACCTGTGGAATATCGTTCAACAAATTATCTCGAGAAAAAACTATCGGTGACGCTCTTGTAAATCTTAGATTTTTTTTCAAGCATACGAGGGAGACTAAATTCACCTGTTTCTTGAACGTAAATCCGTAACCCGTGGTCGTTGTCATTCCGCAATACTTTCCGTTTCGATAAATAGGCTCGCCACCCCAGCACCAAGTATCGAACTCGAGATCGTGATCGTTCAACAGTAACTGTACGTACTTCCGCTGGACTCCTTGCTCACGCTGCCTCAAAAGAGCATCTCTGCCGATGAAGTCGACTTCCTTCTGCGGAATGAAAGTTTTATATAAGTTCACATATAACAAACTCCTTTAAAATGTCAATCCTCAAAGTAATATTTACATCGAATTTTACTCTCCATGATCTTCCGCATTCCAAGGGAGTGGTGAAGGTATCCAAATCTTGTCCCCAAAATGCGTAAAACTTCTCAACGCGTAACGCTCTCGTCGCATAATAACCAGCGTGCTTCACCCCGTATTTCGCTCCGGCCTCTATTAGCCTTGTGTAGACGTGCAATGCAAACTGAAATTGTGAAAAAATTTGGAACACGCTTTATAGATCTAAGAAAATTTGTTTTTAATACCGATATAACTCAAAAGAGCAAAGACGGTATAATAGCGATTACTCGAATGGATTTTTACCTCGTTTGGAATATACAAGACGTAGCCAAGTTCTCCCGTGTGCGTTAAATTCATCGTACGAATGCCATTGGCAAGTCCAACATCCAATTCCTGATAAAAAAAAAAAGAAAGCGAACGGATGATAACGTAATTTAAATGTTTGAATTCAGTTATGTTACCTTGAATGTGAAAAACGGGAAGTTCTTTGGATTTAAATCTATGTCTGTCAGTTCAGTTAACAGTTTTCTGGTGGCCGGTCCCATTATGCAAATCGCAGTGTACGCCGACGTGACGTCCGACACGGCGACAGAACCGTCCGCCGGTAGATGACGGTGGATCCAGTCCTTGCAACGCGTTTGTTGAATGGTTGGAGCAATCATCATGTAACTAAGTGGAAAAAGTTTCCGAATGTACTCGTAGATTCATTTTCTTTATACGGAGAATATTCCTGATAGCACAACCAAAACGCGACGCACGATCAGCAATTCTTCAATTTTCAAACTCAATCGATCTCTTCAAAAAGTTATAGAAGGAAATGTATTTTAATTTTTCAATTATTTTCTAATGTAAAACCACACCTCGGTTGTATTATCAATAATGAACCATCGCCACGTGTGCGATGCAAATTTATTCATTGCAACTTACTGATTCGGCGCGATCCGCGCTAAACTACAGTCGTTCTCGTAACCACCACGATGATTTTGCATACCGGTATGAATAATACTTCCCACGGGCACATCCACATCATTTGAACACAAGTACTGCAGCAAATCCACGACTTCCGTGTCGTTCGACTGCAATACAAAAAGCAAGATATTAGTATCTCAATGAAAGTTTACCCAGAAAGATACACGAGCCCTTGGATAGTTACCCATAAGTCGATTTTGGTGAAGGAGGAATAATCGCTCAGACCAATCGCTTCTCTGCAAGCAGCGTATTCTTGCGCGACCGCGTCGAACCAGGGTGGCTTACCGAAGGTATTCGTGTAAGCTATTTTGTATCTCTGAAAACCGTCGGGAAACTCCAAATCTGTTAACAATAAATATTTGTAGTACGGAAATGGGATTCTCCAAGTTTTGACAGAAAGTCGTGAGTAGTGCAAAATTACCGCAGTCATCGTCTGGCTGAAACCAGGACGGTCTCTCGTAGCCCATGACCTGGCCGAAAACGGCGCCCGCGTCTCGGAGCTTCGGATAAATCGGCGACATCCTCAGATTTCGTCCGGTTTTGAACTCGAGATGCGGATACTGCAGCGCGTAGTGCATCCCAGGCACCTCTCGCACCCGATCGCGCAGGAACTTGCGATTGTTATGCAGCCCGAGGAAACGCGAGACATCTAACTCGTACATATCTAACGAAGTCGAGCCGTTAACTATCAATTCCGCCGTTGCGCGACCGACTCCGCCAGCGGCGGATATTCCGACCTTTAGAATACGACAATTTATATCGAAGAATTACGGGAATCGATACGATTAAGCGACTTAATCAGTTAATAGTTAATTAACTAACCGTTTTCATCCCGGCTGCGATGTAGTAATTACGTATTTCCGGCACCTCTCCCACGATCCATCTGCAATCTGGAGAGAACGCTTCAGGCCCGTTGCAGAGTCTCTCCAGAACTGCGTTTCCTAAACTTGGAATTCTGTGCAACATCTGTTCCAGCAAAATATGAAAGTGATCCCAATCCTCCGGTAAAAATCGCTTATCCGTGCCCTCTAGAATAAATAAAATAAGAATATCTTTTAATCACATTACAAATAAATAATTATCTCAATTTAAATAGTTTATAAATTGATTTAGTGAGCATCAATTTAGACGAGCAAAATTCTTTTGCAATAATTTAAACGTCCAGGAAAATTCTCATGTTCATCTAACCGGGAATCACTCCGTCTTCGAACGCTGGTTTTGCGACCGGCTCGAAACCACCGGCTAACAGCCGCCCTTCGTTCTCTCGAAAATAGGTATACCCATCCAAGTCGCGTATAACGGGTGTCATCGGATCTAAATTAGCAATAGGTTTAGTGTGCAAATAATAATGTTCCACTGGATGAAGCGGTACCTGGAAAACGAGTAAGACATTACTTTCTGCCAGAGAATTTTTGCTTAATAAATCAGGTATCAGGGATACCGACCTTGACATACGGCTCACTGAGTTTACCCACATTCCGCGCCCAAAATCCGGCGCCATTGACAAAATGCTGGCATTTGACGGTACCGCGGGTCGTTTCCACCGCTTCTATCTGGCTATTCTGATTGATAACTTTCGTAACCGCGCAATTCTCGAATACCGTAACACCTGGGTACAATGAGAACGTGATTTTCTTAAATTTGAGGGCAGCTCGCAATCAAGTCTCTCCGGATATCCTAATTTTTTAATCGTATACGATACCTCTTCGTTGTGCCTCTTGAATCAACGTCAAACAGATCCGATACGGATCGCCGACGCCGTCCCCTGGGATCCACAATCCTCCCACCAGATCCTCGACGTGTAACAATGGACACAGATCTTGAATTTCCTCCGGCGAAACCAAGTGGCACTCGATGTCGCGTGACCTGAGATATTAATCAAGTTTAAAACGTAAATGTCGATATCGCCGATATTGCGGTATCGCCGTGTCCGCTAAATAATTACACAGATTGCGCCTTCATTCGCCTGAACGAGGTCATGCGGTCTCTCGTTCTCGCCAACGAGAGACTGCCGCACTGCTTCCATCCTGTCGTGAGGCCCTTCTTCTCCAGCTCCTTGTACAAGGCGATGCTATCCTGAGCGAGTTTCACTTGTGCTAGACTGGGCTTGAAGGCTCCTACTAATCCTGACGCGTGCCACGTTGTTCCACCTCCTAGCCTGATAACAGACGCGTGAAATACCTTTGTTATATATTGTAAAAAGAAGAATGTGTAAATATATTAAGATAAAAAAATATATATGAGTGTTTTTTTAATGGCTCGTTGAGTAAAATACATTTGAAGGGGGTATTCGCGTACCTGCCACTTTCTACCAAAATAGTCTCCGGTCCCAGTCCCATGAGGGACAAGTGATACGCCACGGCACCTCCCATAACTCCGCCTCCGCATATAACAACTCGTGCTTCCTTAGGAAGCGCATGTTCCGAGTCCTCCGAAGCCGCGGCGTCGGTCTCTTTCTTCGTCGCCGCTCCCCCAGTTTCGTAACCGCGCGAGAGAGCCTTCCTCCCACGCACTGTGCATCTGCTGTACAACAGTTTGGATTGCTTCCACATTTTAATCATCGGGCAATCGAGATTCTTAAAATAACGCCTCTGCTAATTCACGTGATATCCCTATAACGTTCCTCGAGCCATGAAAAGTACAATAAACGTGGTTTTTGCGTAGCCAGGCATTATTTTATGTTCGGCCGGCAATGTTTCCCTCGTCGAGCGTTTCTAACCTGTACAGTTATCTTGCACACCTTTACATCTAGATCGTTTCTTTCACTATCTTCGTTCTTCGTGTCTACATTCTTCTTCCTGTTTTTGCAACAAATTGATATATCACATTACGGTAATCACAACAGCGAAAGAAAATTGCGACTGTCGACATATATGCATGCTGCATCCTCACAGAACATATACTTGCATCCTGCACTTTCTGCACTGTTAGATCTGTTCTTTTAGCGAGTTTACGCCGTTTGCGCCCCACGAAGCAGCGTGTCAAAATGTACTCTATTTCTTTTTTTTTAAAGACTACACTCTTGCGTGATTTTCTAATTTACAAATATTTACGAGAAGCAGCGCTTTTATCTTGTGTAACTCTCGCGGTTTTGTAATTAAAATTTCAAACGGCTTATAAAATACATCCGCTTACGCTTGATTGCCTTGATGTTTTTTTTTTGCCACGGCCGCAATTTTCATTCCTCGCATGCGGAACGAAATTGTTAATAGTCCGAGACAGCGGCGCTATTTTGAAGTGATTATCGATATCGTTTAATGCACAAGGATGCTTTATGTGTGCTATATATTTATAGAGAAAATCAATATCTTTAATTTTCACACATCCAATGGAGCTTGTAAGGTTTCTCGGGTCGCGCACCGTCGCACGGTATAATGCTTCTTTTTCAATGCGTGCATGCGCGATAATGGGAACAATAATAAAAGTAATTTTAGTTTTTCAGCAGACGTACTCCGTGCCGCATAGAGGTCTTTAGAGAAAGGAAAATGAGAAACGGTAGCAGATTGTTAAAAGTCCTTCTGCAAGCTTCAGAGAAGGCGGCGAACATTGCCAGAACTTGCCGGCAAAAGGAGGCTCTTTTTCAGTTGTTGGTGCAAGAAAAATCTCTGGAGGAGAAAAACCCTCGTTTCTTCCAGGATTTCAAAACGTTAGCCGACGTTCTCATTCAGGAAACCATCAGGCACGACATAGAAATTGAAGTGAGTACAAAGAGGTCTTGTAAACCCAGTCAGAAATAATCAGTTGAAAAGGCGGCGAATCAACGACTTTTCAACCAAAGGAACGGTTGATATAGACGTATAAAATTAGGTCGATTATATGTTTTTGTGTCCTTCAAATTAGACCTCTATAAAACCATAGACGACATAGCCGTCTAATAGTCGAAAGCTTTTCAACTTGTCACTTCTGACTGGGAATGGTAGGAGTATAAGACGCTGGTGAAAAGAACTATGTTTTTCTGACTTATTAAACTTCAAACTTATTATCGCCATAGTTTCCAGAGCTGGCCAAGCTGGTGCAGGGCGAGGAAACCAATGTGTTCAGCAATACCATGGGGGAATCTATTATCGTTGAAGTCTGCTCCTGCAGCAAAGATACGACACAGCTGCTGACGAAAGTTATGGGTAACGACGCTGTGGCAGCGGAATTGCTCGCTGCTGAAGTCCATAAAGACGTTCAGCTTTCAGACGTGCCAATCACGTTAGACATCCCCAATGATTTCGACATCAATGTAGACGACCTCGGTATTTGGATAGATCCAATTGGTAGGTGCAATGTACGAGCGCATGGCAGAAAATAATTCTAGATTACATATATTCGATTGATATTTAGTAAATTTGCATTAATTCAGGGCAAGACTGAAAAAAAATATATATATATAAAAGTTGGACGGTATTGTGGTAAAAACTATGACTCTCTTGTTAGTAAGAATCGTAATTGGCCTGTAAACTGAGACGCAACGCTTGTAAGAACTTCTGTTTGTTTTGTAGTTTGATAATGCATGCCTGTGGAGCAATTCGTGGAACTTTTGTAGATTCAACAGCAGATTACATAAGCGCAACGGAGGCAGTGGACGAGCAGACCGGTTTACATTTGAGTGGGTTGCGTTGTGTCACTGTCTTAATTGGAGCGTACAAGAAAAGTACGGGAGTGCCAGTTTTGGGTGTAGTCAATCAACCTTTTTGCATCACTGTGGACTCCCAGTAAGTATATACTAAGAGTTGAAACGGATAAACTTTTAATAATCATAAAATATAAGATTTTTACTTGGTCTGGGCATTTTTATACGTTACCAAACATATTTGTTGAGATTGAAAGTAATTTGTTTTCGTGTTTGTAATAAACCTACGTATTTTTGATATTAGAGAAATGTGTGAGCTTTACATTCTCCGCTTCATTACACACTATTGATTGAACAGATGGACAGGAAAATGTTACTGGGGTTTTCTGGGAGGAGGCATCGCCAAGTCTTCCATAAGCAGCACGTGCAACGTCGATAAAATCATTTTGCTCAGCCGCTTCGAAGATGCAGATGTAAAATCAAAGCTGTTAAACAGTGGATTCAGATTGGTGGAAGTAACCGGGGCAGGATACAAGATACTGAGCGTTGCTGTTGGACAAGCGGCCGCCTACATCTTGTCGAAAGGTTCCACTTACAAATGGGACACGTGCGGACCGCAGGCTCTCCTGTCATCGGTCGGCGGAGGTATCATAGAATTTAAAGAGTTTATCGTGCATCCAGATTCGGACAATTTGAGCGTCAACTATTTACCTATCGGGACAAATTTCTCCAATCGTGCAGGCTTGATAGCTTACAGAGATCCCCAAATTTTGGAAACTTTCAAATGTATTTTATGCAGATCTCGTTAATAAGTGTACGACGAAGATACATTGACGCTAAAGCTCGACATTCTGCTAGGAAAATTTTCACGCTAATTACATTACATACTATTTAGTTATTTACTATTTGGTTATATAGATAAAAATTATATTTTACTCTACAAATTTTATGTGAAAACTTCGAAATGATGTTTTCGTAGCAATTTCTTATGACTATATTTTGTGGTATTATCTGTAAACTTTGATTCGATTGTACAATATACTTATTATATAAGTAAATATATCCAGTAATAAACTAATATTATATTTGTTGATTTGACAAATTGATTATTTGTTAATTGATGTAGCTTTAATCGTTAATTATGATATAATAAATAAATTGGATCCAAATAGATAGATCGTTTAAGTTTTTAAGCCCGAGAGGCCCAAATGCGTAACATTACATGTACGCAGCTCATAATAGCGGTCACTGACATGTGCAAGAACGAATTTATTCCTCGATCCATCCCCCCATCACTGCTCCAACTGGGTATGTCTGAAAAAATTGTATACATACTTCGTGACACCTGTGAACTTTCGCGCGAGTGATTTCGCAAACACTTGGCGTTGCTTCGCGTACGCCAGTGGCGCAACACGATCCGTCGGAGCCCGGAATTTTTCGACAAAGGATTGAAACAAAAAAAAATGAACGTGGAAATTTAAAGCTCGGTATTATGTCACTACATACACCGCTCACTGATGGTTCTGAACGTGTAAATTGCCAAAGAGTACTTATTCTAAATGCTGCGTAATAACAAAATTAGCGATCACCTGAATTGATACGCGCGAGGAAAGCGAACGATGAGTTCCTCGATATCGCTACAATAAAAGGGCGGTATTCATAATAATCACAATCCGACCTTGTACTTAAGATCGTCCAAAGTTTGATTTTAACAACAGTAAAGCTCCATGAAGCGATCGTGTAGTTTCTCGAGAGATCGTATACTTATCACAATCCGACCTTGTATTTAAGATCGTCTAAAGTTTGATTTTAACAACAGTAAAGCTCCATAAAGCGATCGTGTAGTTTCTCGAGAGAGAGATCATACTTATAAACAATCTTATAATATAAGATCGGACTAACAATAAGAATATATCGTTCTAAGATCTCCCTCAGTCAATGACCTCCGGGCGAACTGGCCGTTCAGTAATCGGTCGAAAGGCACTATTGGAGGTGAAAATCATCAGTTTATCGTATATATCCGTAGGGCCTCTTGTACGAGCCTCGAATTGAAGTCACACAGCTGTCCATTAACCAGATTGGTCCAACCTAAATACAATACAACTCGACGTTCATTCATTCCCGGTGTGTTCGCGTGCCCTCGTGGTGGCCGTCTCGCTCTACGTCACCGTCGGGGGAAACGGGCCAATTGGACGCTCCCACATTTCTAAGCGTGCACACGCGTACTCGAGTCGCATCCGGTAAGCGGTCCACTCTTGACAGACGGACTGTCGGGACACTGCCGCGGGGGCTAGACAGTTGCGGTATCTTCGTTCGCGTTGTCCCGTCAGCATCATGAGGCTGCTGTTGTTCCTGGGCTTGGTGGCCGCTGTCTCCTGCGCGAGCAACGGACCGAAAGTCACCGACAAGGTATAACGTGTAACCATAAGGTGTACGGCCAACGGCACGCTTTATCATCGATTTATTTGGATCTCACCGATGATAAACCGATGAATACGTGGCAATCTTTGTGCCCACCGCCCCCGGCGCGAGATATTTCTGTTTCACGCACGGAAAGAACCGCGCGTCACTTGCGAGCGAACAATGCTTTTCAATGCCTTTGTCCGGCAGCGCGTACTCGCACCGGAGCCTTCGGAATTGATGAGTCAATTAACGAAAAATTAATCGAATTTTTAGGTATGGTTCGATATCAAGATCGGCGGTGAAGATGTGGGCAGAATAGAGATCGGCCTGTTCGGCAAAACCGTCCCGAAGACGGTCAAGAACTTTGTGGAGCTCGCCAAGCTGCCGGAGGGTGAGGGGTACAAGGGCAGCAAGTTCCACAGAGTGATCAAGGACTTCATGATCCAAGGGGGAGACTTCACGAAGGGGGATGGCACTGGAGGTATATATTTTTTCAATCATTCGGCACGTCCACAGGTGTACGGCGTTTGATTACTGATTTTTTATCTGCTCGTCAGGTCGCAGCATCTACGGGGATCGCTTCGCGGATGAGAACTTCAAGCTGAAGCACTACGGCGCCGGATGGCTGTCCATGGCCAATGCCGGTAAGGACACCAACGGATCTCAATTCTTCATCACGGTCAAGCAGACGCCGTGGCTCGACGGCAGACACGTCGTCTTCGGCAAAATTATCAAAGGAATGGTAAGAGGAACTGTTATGTAAGGTAAATGTATACTAAACCTGGACACACGTACCTATGGCACACCATTTTTATCATTTTAGTCCTTAAATAAGTTAGAACGTGAATTAAAATCAAAGAATCAAGGATAAAAATATTTTTCTTGTATTATATTTTTATCTTTTATCTAATCTCATTTTTATCTAATCAAAGATAAAATTATTTTTCTTGTATGATATTTTTATCTTTGATTTTAATTCGCGTTATACTTATTTAAGAACTGAAATGATAAAGGTTGTCCAGACATAGGTCTTACGTGTCCAGGTATTAGTACATACATTTATCTCAATGATAACTAGAGAATACAATTTTTTTATTTGTCATTCTGTCATTTATGACATAATCACCTTCCCGCTGTAGGATATAGTGCGCAAGATTGAGCAGACGGGCACCGACTCGCGGGACAAGCCGCGGAAGGATGTGGTCATCGCCGACAGCGGCGCGGAAACTGTAACGGAGCCATTCAGCGTGGTTAAGGGCGACGCCCTCGATTAAATCTTCAAGCATTCGTCAACAGCCTCATTATTCTTTATGATCTCTTTATTTCGTACAAAACAATCTCTTGGGAGCCGCGCGGGTTTTGACAGCCTCGGTCGGTCTCCCCGTACGGATGAGCGACAACGTGATGTTTAAACGGCATTTAACCACAGGCAGCAGCGAATATCAACGAAAAACGTTTTGTAAAAGGTCATAAAGTTGTTGAAGCAACAATCGATGAGCAATAGAACGACGGTTTCTATTCTAATTGTTAAAAAATTACGTATAACTTGCATCGCACGGTAAATTTTGTACGTAAGCGAATTTTTTACATTCACGAATAAACGTAAGTTGTTTGAAGCATCGTCGTACGTGGTCGTTTCATTTCTTCTACGTAAGAAAACCGAGCTCCAATTGATTCTGGAAAATAAAAAAAAAGAGTTGACTAAATGTTTCAATTTGCAACCATATTTTTTTATAGTTATACGGATTCTAGATAAAAAAAAGTTGAACATTTCTATATATATAGCTATACGCTATACCAGCTAGCAAAGTATACATACGTAGACTCGAAATGGCGATTCAACAGCCGGGGATCTGTCATCTGTCACATATGAAACTCCCTGTAGCCATTGGCACTCAATTGGCAGTTCTGAATTATTTTTTTCTCCCACGAGGAGCTCGCCGGCTTCTCTCTCGAACTTAGATCGGAAAATCAAATCAATGAAAAATGTTGTCGAGGCGACGGACGTGCCTCGTCCTCGCGCATAAATGGATCCGGAGGCGAAACGATCTTTCACGGCGGTTTCTTTCGTCCAAGGTACAAAGAGACGCAAAAGTACGGTGAGCAGCTAGGTTAGGTTATGAAAAATGTTTACATTCGCGAATGTGAACGATTCTCGTTACAATTTAACATTATCTCGCTCGTTATGTATTCACGATGCTCCAGCAATCGTCGTAGTCGAGTCGTTAACTGAATTCACCTCTTTTTTTTCTATTTGTAATTAAGGGAGAAATGGAAGCCCACCGTGGGATTGGAGGTCCACGCACAGATCGCCACGGAATCGAAATTGTTTTCCGCCGCGTCCACGGACTTCGCCCGCCCGGTTAATTCGTGCGTCTCGTTCTTCGACTGCGCTACACCGGGAACATTGCCTGTAAAGTTTATTGAAAACTGGTGAACAGATTGAACACCGCCTCTTTCTCGGTCACGAGAACAATTAACCGCGCGCAAACTATTGTGATACACATTAATTGTTGTTGTAGACACGAGTGTGTTGGTTGCAGGTATTGAACAGGAGATGCGTGGAATCGGCGGTGACAACCGCCCTGGCGCTGTCCTGCCGACTGAACGAGACTTCCTTGTTCGAGAGGAAGCATTACTTCTACGCGGACTTGCCTGTGAGTGATGAGGCTCTATTGCAGGACAGATACATTACGTTGTCAACTTTATTACCTAGAAATTGCTTAGGCGGGGTTTCAAATCACTCAACAAGGACGACCGATCGCGGTCAATGGCGAAGTTAGGTTTCATGTGTTCATCCCGGGGCTGCACAAGTCCCCGTACTTGAAATCTTCCAAGATCAAGCAGATCCAGTTGGAGCAGGACAGTGGTAGAAGTTTGCACGTCGAAGATGCGGCGAGGTATCGATCAAGGCCACTCGGTTCTATTCGAAAGTCGGTGAAAGCTTAGACGATATTCCCATTAAACTTTTGGTTATTTTTGTAGAAGCCTGATCGATCTTAATCGCGCCGGAATACCCTTGATGGAATTCGTGTTTGAGCCGGACTTGGTCGACGGCGAGGAAGCGGCCGCGCTTGTGAAGGAGCTTGCATTTACATTGCAGTTACTGGGCGTCTGCAGCGGCAAGATGGAAGGTCGTTTGCAGAGACCACTTTCGAATTATTGTTCTTGTACAATTTTGATATATTTCGCTATCCTTGAATTGTAGAAGGGGCACTTCGCGTGGACGCCAACGTTTCCGTGAGCAACTGCGGCAGTTTAGGCGTTCGAACGGAAATAAAAAATATCGGAAGTGTGCGCGCTGTCGCTGCGGCTGTTCGATATGAGATAAATAGGCACATCTCCATTCTTGAAGTCGGTGACGAGATGTTCAACGAGACTCGCGCGTGGGACGCGGTGAACAAGAGAACTGTTCCTATGCGAGAAAAAGAAGACAAAGAGGTAATATGGCATTTTGATTTTATGTCGCTGTTACTATAGGATTATTGAATAATTCTATAAATAAATAAAATGATAAAATAATTACTGAATTTACTTCGAACACTTTCAGGATTACCGATTTATGCCCGAAACGAATTTGCCACCTTTACGCATACATCTTAGAGAAGATTTACCGAATAGAAGCAATTTAGTCGATGCCGTAGTGCTGCGAAGACAATTACCCGAGTTGCCGGAACAGATACGTCAGAGATTACAGGACGTTCTTCGGATAACTCCTGAAATAATCGTAGCTCTAATGGTAAATCTTGTGATGCTCTATAATTCTATAAGCAAACAAATACAAAAATTGTTTTTAATATTTTATACTTTTTTTAGAGTGACTTCACATTGTTACAATTATTTAATGGAATAATGAGAAAAAATGAGAATCGCGAGCCGCAATTGGTCGCAAAGTTTCTCGTAATGAATCTGTTGACCTTTCTCAATAAAAATAAACTAACAATTGAATTTTGGTAAGCTTCTTTTTATTTAAGTAAGATAATATGGAAGTCTGAATTGAAAAATGTGCTCACCTAATGAATTTTTAGTATACCACGTGAAGATTTTATTGGTCAATTGGTCGACTTATTACAAGACAAATTAATTAATTTAATAACGGCGAAAAAGATTTTAAAGGAATTAATAGCCGACTCAAATAAACGACCAAAAGAGGTAAAAATCTCACTTTTTTAAAAATAAAAATGCAATATTCACAGCTTGAATATTTTTTTAACTTACGTGTGATTACCTTTGTTTATTATACGTAGATCGTTGAAGAGCGCAACTGGTTCCTGATATCAGACGAGAAGCAATTAGAACAAATGTGTTTAGAAATTATAGAGAAAAATCCGAAACTTGTATCAGGGTATAAAAGTGGCAAGAAGAAATTATTTAACGCATTGATGGGAGAAATGGCAAAAGTTACAGAGCAACGTGCAGATTTGGCTGCTGTTGCAAAAATTATGGAACGATTACTGAAATCGTGATAAATGGTAATTGCGGGAACGATAAATCTATTACTGAATTAGTATTGTGATATGATACTGTAAATAAAACAATCTGAGTAAACAAATGAGTGTAAAATCACAATGTTACTAATTACTTACCTTTCATCGTATATAATAATGCTGATCAACCACGTTATATTATATAGAGGGATCTTTACTAATATAAATATTTAAAAAAATATACAGTATAAACATGTATGAAGGAATTTCACCATCGACGGATAGAAGTTTATAAAATAACAAAAAAATAAGGTTCATGTATAAGTCTATGTATTAAATATTTACACAAATATTATTTTCTAATAAACTTCATTACGAAATAACTACATTGAGTCATCCTTTTTTACAATTGTTTACAATAATATCATTAAAAAACATGCCAACTGTCAATTACACATTCCATTGTCCAATATTTATAAATTCGTCTTTATCCAGAGCGTATTGGACAATCATTGTTGTTGCTATAAGAAAATAATAGGTAACAGCATTTTATATTGGACAGGTAGTTAAAAATAATAACACAGATTCTACATCAACAGTTCGAACTGAAGTTACCACAGCTCTAACGTACAGTAATTTTTAGCACTTTAAAGGAGATTAAAAATCCCGATGTGTCTAAAGTATATTTTACATATCTGTGATATTATATAAGAAAATGTATTATATTACAGAGTAATTAAAAACATTTACTCCCGTATATGCATCAAATTTCTGTCTATACTGCAAAAATGGCAATGATGGGAAGGATTTACAAATTGCAGTCTTCAGAGAAAGGCCACTTGAGTAGCAAAGGTCATGTTCTTTGACTCCTTCTTTACCACCTGCGTAATTTAGTTATACAGATATATGTCACTTATTGCTTCGGTAATGCAAACTCGTTTACGATACATTATATGGATTTGCTCGTATGCAATCAGAGTGTTTCAAAATTCTTACTCCGCGGGTAAAAGTTCTCTTCTCAAATTACTAAAATGTCACATCACCATTGTCTATTTATCTGTATTTACAAAATGTCCTTATAAAGAATCAACATCGATAACGCGATTTGTTAAAAAAGAAAACTGTCCGTAAAGATTAACAGTTCTTTTTCTCTTCCTAATAGTCAAATAAAATAAAGCTGACTTTTCCTTTTTTTTTTTTACTATAAAGCATTAAGTCGGTTTTATATATTGGATTATAAAATTCATCTTTTCATGACGATAAAAAGTAATTCCACAAAGTAAAATTTCTCTAAGTCTTTTTTACGATCAAGTTATTCACAGTCTAAGAATAGGAGAGTAACATTTCTTTTCGCCTTTGGCACAGCCATGCGATTAATTGATCTCATAATTGGAATAAGTTAAATTACTACAAAGATAAATTCATCGGTAGCATAATGCACGTTTGTAAAGAATACTAGCGATAATGATGATGCTGCTATAGTTAAAGCAATTCATTCAATATAGTTGTAATACAACTTAAAATTTCATTACGATGTGTGTGCAGTTGAGACTACAAGATTTATTTGGACAATTTGCTGATTACTCTGATCAAGGCACCATTTTCATCTTTTAGCCTCTGATTTTCGCATTTTAGTTGGTCCATCACCTAGAAAAAAAAAAATGTCACGCTAATTTTTATGCGCTAATTGAGAGAACATAAACGTTATATAGAGGAGAGTACAGAGAAATAAATGCCGTTATAGACGGAGTAAAATTTCAGTGCTCACAAAACAACAGGAGGATAAACGGAAAGAGGCACTCACAAATATTACTGCAACCAAAAGTCATTAAAGTATTCGGGTAGTGTATATACTAGCAGAAATTAATAAAATCTTGAGATTGACACAGAGTAAAAGAACTGAGAAATGATCGCGTGTAGCACAAAAGCGTTTCATCAATTTACGATCTTCGTATTACATGTAACACCAGAATCGTAAACTTTATTTCCTTCAAGTATCGTTGCATTTGTACACAAGTATTCTTTCATGGCAATCGTTTTACATCTAATCGATATCCAAACAAATAGCTCGAACAAACTATTTAAATATAATAAATCCGACATTCGAATTAAATTTCTTACACATACAAATATATTACAATAAAGTTCGCATCGTTTGGAAGAAAATTTATCCTCGTACTTGTACACAATCTAAGCGAGACTCAATCAGCGAATAATTAAGTTGACAGTTTAGGCGACGCATAGTCTTAATTAATACAACAATTCGACTTCAAGTTTTAGGGGAGGGCATTTCATATATAAAAATGCAAGAAATAATATTATGTTACAGTTGCAACTATAACTGTAAGATTGTAATCATTTGTCACATTCCTTGTCGTTGAGCACTTTTAGAACACTACAAAATAATATCGTTGATACGAAAGCTCTCTAATGCGTACCATGGAATAATGACAAGTATGCAATATTATACGTAAATGTTAAAAAGGGATTTAATGCCAACTTCGTGGATTGGATCGTTTTATTGAAGTCTATAGAAGTGCAATAAAAGTGCAACAATTTAACATTTAACATGCTTTCTTAAAGAGAAAGAGAGAAAGAGACAGAGGTGAAGATCTAAGTTAATGGAGTGTAACATGTGTTGATTTTAACAGTCGAACATGTTTCGGGAATTGTATAACTTTCACACAGTTATGATTAAGATGAATAAACTGAGAAAAAAAAATAACTAACTGCAGAGTCATGGCTTTCTCTTTCATGTGAAACACGTGCTAAAAATGATTATCGATGCTTGCGATGAGATGGCATTCAGTTTACTGATGTTATTCTGCATGTTGGATGATGGTTTTACATGGAGGAAAGTTTCCTAAAGTTAAAACTGGTGGTGTCTATATTCATTCCTATATGCATCTTATAAATGACAGACTGCGTTCTTTCTTATCTCTTGTTAAAAGACTTTTGATCTTTTTTTAGTAAATGTATTATTAAATAATTTATTTGTAACATGCATCACACAATCAGCCGGAATAATTTATTGTATAATTATCACGTTTGGAACTTTATAACAATGTTGAAAAAAAATTGTACACGTATATAACGTTAAATACGTAAATATATACGTGAGAGAATTGCCTCAATATACATACATTCCAGAAATAAAAATGCTATTAGTATCACACAAGAGTAATAAAATACACGATTGTATAAATATCGACGGCAGATATTCAGAGAATGAGACATATGTATTGTGGTAAGCCTGAAGTTTCTATTTTATAAAAGTAAATTGTGATACCTTTAATTAAGAACTGATTAACGGTCGCGTTATATGTTGGAATGCACTTTGCAAAGCTGAATTGTACGATAAGTATGATGAGTAGTATCGTTTCTGTTTTAATATTGGCGATCAGAACACAAAATTATAATTAATCATTCGATTAATGCTGTACGTGAGATACGATGTCTAATCGTTAACGCAGATGCTGTCATTGTGTCCTTTACCTATTTAGTATTGGTGAGTTTGGATACGACGCGGGTAAGTGCCCGATTTTCGGCTTTCAATCTCTCATTTTCAGCTTTGAGCTTTTGCAATTGCTGTAAACAGTTAAACGATTAGCCTAAAACCCCGCCACTGTTTTTGCTAGTTCCCAAAATAGCCAAAAAAACAAATAACTAATTCGCGTTCCATTAACAGACGAGTTAAAAACCGCGTGCAATTCCCCGCCAAGCTACGCTACAAAGTTCTCAGAGAAGCGGAACTCAGGGGAAATATAAAACGGGCTACTGAAAATTACTGCTTCCCGTGAAAAAAAAATAAAGAAAACGAGTAACAATTAAAAAAAAGTGGAGATTAAGAAAAAGAGTAAAGCACCAATTTGCGTAAAATTGCCAGGTAAGGAAAAGCGTATAACCGAAGCGAATCGGGTCTTCGTACCAAAAATAATCATTGCTGTCTTTGCTTGCCGCTAGCGTTCACAGCAACACAAGAAAAAAGAGATGACGGTGTGTAACTAACTAAACAAAATCTAAAATCGTGAATATACCGATACGTATATTCGTACATAAAAAAATCACAGACGATCCGTGTCCAGTGTCTCCTCATTGCTCAATTCAACGTATGAAAGCATTTCGTCCATTCGCTTTCACATACATAACGAAAAGATTCATAATGAGGAAAGCGTATTATCAAATCAGCGACCTTACCTTCAATTCCTCTTCCATCTCTGAAAGTTTCCTTTCCATGGCTCGCCTCTCCCTTTTCTCTGCCTCAGAGAGAATTACTTTGTTTTGGTTGATTTGCGTTTTTTCCAATAAATGCCTGACTTCTTTCAATTGCTCGTCGGAGCGCTTCAGTTTCTCCTTTAGCCTTTCGTTCTCGACCTGAGATTCCTCGTATAGTTTCTTATAGTCTAATTCGCCGTTCTCGGAACTGTTTGATTTTAATCTGATTGGTGTTGACGAGGCTTCCGACGATAGCGAAGATATCGAACCTAATCTAGTGGCTCTCCCAGAACGATCGTTTCCGCTCTAAAACAGACATAATATCAAATACCGTTAACTTTTATTAAAAAGCGAATCATTGTAATTTCTCGTCAACCTTTAGGAAAAATTATACACTTAATAAAACGTCATTTGAAAATATTTCAAAATCTCTGGAAGCTTGTATAGATATTTACAATACGGATTTAGGATTATGAGAGTCAAGGAAGCTGCTTACAGCGTATCCCTCGGAACTAGTTAAGCTTTGCAGACTGGAACTTCTCGATCCGACACTGAGACTCGGTTTTACTTTGGATCTGCTAAAACTCTCGGTTTTTTGCACGTGCGGCCGGGTGTTTACGTTTAAATAATTGTAACTGGGAGACGGACTCAGATTCAGGGGACTGTGCGAAGACAAGTTGTGAGCTGTGTGAGAAGGTAAATTGTGAACTGTGTGAGAAGGTAAATTGTGAGCTGTGTGAGAAGGTAAATTGTGAGCTGTGTAAGAAGGTAAGTTGTGAGCTGTGTGAGAGGGTAAAGTCACACCACCGTATCCCGTAGTCGTTCCACCGTACGACGTGTAGAGATTCTGATAATTCGGACTGTTCGCAGATTTCGCGTACGGATTCGTTCGGTACAAATCGCTGCTCTTAGTCCCCTTATTAAAAAAACTCGACCCGGAATACAGATTTGGCGTTTTTACGCCGAGCAATCCCGCGTTGAACGTCAAATTATTCTGATTTAACGAGAGCAAACCGCCGATCCGTGACCTGTTTCCAAAAATTGATTGCCCATTTGTTGACGCTTGAGCTCGTAAGCCCGCAGCTGTTGTTGGCTTAGTCTGCGCTCCCTTTCTGTACGAAGACATGGTTTGCGTCACGTGCGAAGTTATTACGAGACACTATACAGCGCATTCGGCAGCTTCTCCCGCGAGAGATCCGTCACACGTTACTCCACACAAATGGTTTGCGAGAAATTTTATTGCGGCCCGCGGATATTTTAAACGCAAAAACGTTTCTCGATTTTTAGAGCCGCGCTTCGTGTACGCGGTGCCGCGGATAGCGAATGATAGACTGACGGGGACTGGGCAGGGGAACCCAAGACATCAGGCAGTTCGCTTTAAAGCATCACTACTATGTGCTATTTTTGGAATGCACGCGGACACGCACACAAATATCAAGGTTGTATGTTTCGAAGAATAAATGCAGCTTTTTACTGCAGTTTAAATGTCTTTTTTTTAACACATAACAGTTTAAATATAGACGTTTGTGCACTATATACATTGATATGTACCACAACATACCCAATTTTATGGTGGAAGTAAGTTTGAGCGAGAAAAAGGAAATGAGTACGAATTTCGTAACATTAGACAATAGCCCTCGCATATACAAAATTTATATAGAACGCATTAACGAACCGTCTATCATCGATACATAAAGAAGAAACGTTTTAGAGACGTTCGATGGATGCTCAATAAGCGGCATGTATACACGATTCTAAATGTCAAAGTGTCAGATTGTATTCCAAACGCGTCGGACAGAATGCTTTTAGACACGGTCAAGCCTCGGCCACGATCATCTATTTTGCTTCAATCACCGATTAAGTTCCCATATATAATTTAAACTCCTTGTCAAGGAGTCACCAATTCGATGATTTTATATTTAGAATAGTAGAATTATTTCATATCAAGATTAAGCAAAATTATATATTGACGTCAATCACGATCGTTTTTCTGTATATTTTCATATCAAATGTCGCATTTTCCGAACGTAACTGACAGAGAATAACGAATGCTGGACTATTTTTATCGAGAACAGAGGCTATTCTTTCAAGAAGCTAAAAATAACATCAAGCTCCGATAGCTTATGAAAACCGTTTATACCCAGTGAATGAAAAAGTTTGGCTGGAACATTATAAACGAGCTTCCAGAATAACGAAAAAATAATTACGTAGATATTACGAGAAAATGCTTTCTTTTCATGTTATTTGCGTCTCTTTACACATAAAGTGATTTACGCGTAAACAATTGGAACTGCGCGAAACAACAAGCTGTCGGTACCGAGGTCGAAATGAGGTAATGTCCTATATCCTATGCTCTCCCCGATTTACGAGTGTTGTGTTTCCCTCTGCGTCATTCAACTGCGCGTTATCCAATTTTGGATTTTTGGCACGTGTCTGGTAAATCTGTGGCAAGGGACTCGTAAGTCGAAATTCGGATAGACGCTTTGGCGTCCGTCTGTCAGAAGGATTTTGTAAATCGAAGGTCGGTAAAACAAGAGAATAATGTATTTTAGTTGAAGTACAATATTTATACCACCGATCTGGTCATCTATTGTAGAAATTAATTTATCATTCATGCATATATAATCTAACTTTAAACCAAGTAACTTAAATTTGAAGCGCTGCTTTATGGTTTTAAAGATAACGAGGGAATGATTGGAGTTAATGCCTGGAAAGTTTTTACACAACACTGTGTAACAATTATTTTATATTACAAAAAATAGATTGTACTTACTTCGTTGTGATTAATTTTGGAATCATCGCAATCACCGCCAGCAGTTAGATCTTGTTTTTCTGGGTCAATTTCCTATAAAAAAAAAGTAAAACGTAATCTTTTAGAAATTTTCAAGTATATATTTAATTTTTATCATGATTAGTTTTGTTAAATTTTCTTCTAATTAAAACTTTGGAAACTTATCCAGAGTTTTTTTTCTCACTTTCTTGTAATAATATTAATTAAATATTTTTGAAGATAATGTAAGTCCATTATAAAATCATTACTAACATCCATATCCACGTGGACTACACCTGTCGATCTTCTCTTAGGCCGACGTCTCCTTTGAATAACCGCTTGTGTAGCTTGTGCGTTCCTACTGTCATTTTCCTTATCTTGATCTATACACATAAAAAATTCCGTCTTTTTACTAAAATAATAAATAATACTACACGAATTCATATCGTATTTTTATTTAATATATGTATATATGTTTTATATAATTCTTATTAAAACATAAATTATATTCTTTATGTTGTTAATTATTCTGTAAATTCTTACCTTTGTCATCAGGTTGCTTTAACGATCTCCTAAGGGGTAAAGTAACTGTGGTTTCTGTACTACTGGTAGCAATAGTTTCCACTGGAGCTGATGATGGTCTGGGTACACCAGTTCCACCAGACGGTCTTCTCATATAGGCCGTTGCGTTATCAGTAGGTTTATTATTAGCATCCTCCAACTGAAACTATATAAAACAAAATATATTATTATAAATATATTATTACAAATTAATTTTTACAATAACATATTTGTAATGCATTTTCCATTGTCGATTACATTTCCCGATTACATTTTTTAACGCATTTCGGCGTAGCACCAATCACACGGACAACCGTGAACATTTGCGGATTAATCACAGATAAATAATGATTTTGTAAGCGCCCACACCTTGCTTCCATTGTCTACCCTTAATCTCCAAGACGGTCGTCTCTCAGGTAAATTAGTTTCTTCAGAAACTTTATTCGCAGGAGTCACGGTAGTAGAGGTTGCGGTTGTTATTGTAGCTGTGATCGAAGCTGTATTGCTGGCGGTAGTAGTAGGCTGGATTATTTAAAAAAAAAAAAACATGAATAAATCTCAGTTCCATTTGTCGTGTTATATTGCGTTACTATTGTAAAAATATAATAAAAAATAAAATATTATATACTCTTTCTGTTGATTTTAAGCAACACAGGTACTTCATTATAAAATCAGTTATTATTCAATTAAATCCTCACGAAATTTATTACGTTCAATCGTTAATGTCGCACTACGTTTTAATATTCACTATCAATATTCTCACACTCTGGATGAGTCTTCCTTGATATTATTATAAACCACAAAGAATTTTTGCACATATCGGCTGATAGATAGGTAGTTAGTCGCTTTTCTAATCACAGCGATAAGACAGCGATAATAATTACTGATATGATCTTTACCTGCGTGGACGGCGGCAATGTCGGCGATTCGTTGTTCTGTTGCTTTTTCTTCACTAATTGTTCCGCGCTCTTGATCTCATCCAACGTCACACCTTGAGTCGACCTTCTAGTTTCTCTTACTCTCTTTGCGTGGGCTTTCCTTTGGGTTTCACTTTCCTCATCGCGTACCGGCGGAACGAAGGATCTGTACATATACATACGGTAACACATGAGATATCAGCTTACAAGTTGCAACAAAAGATATGTAATATTGTCAGATTGTTTTATCTGTGCAATAAAAACAAACTTTTAGTAAGCATTGTTCAACACAATTTGTAAGCAATATCAAAAGATTTCACATAAAATAAAAGTATACGTATTCCTGTAAAAACAAATAATTAAAATATCTCTTCTCCGTTTCAGGTACACGTTTGAGGTTACATATTACATAATTTCAATTTCTTCCTTGTAGTAGTGTATCCAATTTGGAATCGATTGCAAAATAAATAAAATAACAAAAAATTATTCTAGTCGACAATTTTCACAGAATATCAATCTTTGTTGCAATAAATCAAACCATATTAAAAATATCATAAAGTTATACATTTAGCAGTACAAATCGAATAAAGTGCATTTGTGTGTAGCAGTGTGTTCATTTGCCAACCATGATCAGGTAATATTTGGGCAAGTTTGGTGAATTCAGATGTGTGGTGGATAAGGTGGGCTATCCATATGTATATAAAGATATTCAAATATATAGGACGATTAATGAGCAAATAAAAAGAATAACCACACTGCAAAAAGCAAACTTCCATGCTACTGCCAGCAAATTAACGTAATTAATACGTAAATATTTGACAATATGCAAAAGTCATAATATTTCAGGAGGATCTTCCGAGCAGTGAGTACCCACTTGAAGAAATTCTTGAAGATATTTCCTGGACTTAGCTTGCTCCCTCCTGGTGTAGTGGGAGTTCCAGGAGCAGTTGCTACTGCATTATTTGTATTCGATACAACTGTAGATGCAGCTTCCACTGGTTGAACACTACCCAGCCACATTAATATTATAACGCACAATACAGAATGTAAATACACAGATGTCAATTGTGTGCACATGTAATAATGTATTTTGATGTTGTAAATAAGTGTTTAAGATCCCTATTAGAAGAATTCGTCATGGAAAAGCCTAAATATTTATTTAATATTAATTATGTGACAAGTAAAAGTATATGAATTGAAAGTTTTATACGTAGCTTTATGTAGAGCTCATAATAGCTAAAAAGTGTTTAGAATTTTTACTTCGTGTAGGAAAAATTGAAATAATATATATTCAAATCACATATATACATGAAATATTCGATTTTAACCAAAGTTGTAAAAAGACGATTAAAAATTTTACGGCCAATATTTTTTACATTTTGTAAGACAGTGAAGATACTGCAATCCACTTATAATCTCATGTAAAATAGATTAAAAGAGGCCATCTCATAACATTTAGATAATATTTAATATAATAAGTGTAGATCTTTAGTATAAAAATGTATTTACCTGCGAATTTGATTGACTGGAATAGGACTTGTTGTTGTGGTGGCAGTGGTAGTTGTTGTAATGGATGACAATAGACTCGATGCCAATGTTTTAGATGCGGATGTTGGTGAAAGTGTATTGCTTCCTTGTGGCAGTCTTGATAATTCCAAATTTAATTTCACGTCTTTTTTTCTAGAGTAAGAATAAAATAAACAATTAAAAAAAAAGAAATAAGGTGTAACATATAATAAATTATCGAAGGTATATATTTTAATAACGTTGCCATATTCAAAAGCACTAAAGATAAAAACATTTTCGTATTTATTAACATTTCCACGGATAAATTGAAATAATTCTTGTATCTTACAATAGAATCTTTCAAATGCTTTAATTATACACTTTAAGATTTATTTTTTAAAAAGATGCAAATGTATAATTATAAATTTCTCTTCTTTTTCTATTTATTTGTTACCTCAGTCATGTAAGAGTGAGAGAATTAATATTAAAGAAAATAGTTACTTTTAGAATTGATTAAAAGTTATCTCTTGATGTAATCAGCACTATTATTTGATTTAATTCAAAGCTTTCTAAAGTTTCAAGCTAGGATAACAAATAGCAAGCGACATTAAAAGCTCATTAGTATAGAATGTATAAAAAGAAAAAAAAAACATTAAAACCACATCTGTTACATTTTCACACACTTTCAAATAATACAAATGGTCTGATGCTATCGCAGCAGTCTACATATTATACAGTACAATCGTGTTGAACATGTCGGGCAGAATGACCGAATTGATATCAACATGATTGCAGTTTGTATTGTACAAAGGAAAGCATTGTAACATTGTATCATTGATTAGAAGCATGCGGCATATACCTGTGTGTTTCGCGTAGAGATGCAGAGCGAGTCGTAGCATTGGTGTGGGTAGGAGTAGCTGCATTGCAGCGATGGAGAGTAGGGCACGAGAACGCCTTGATGCGAGCACGTAATGCCAAATACTGCTCATAAAACCTGCATCACATGCATTACCGTGCCATGCATATCTCTACACTAATTATTGTAATAGTATAGGGACATACGTTACAAATACAAAACGCTAAGACTCATAATTAATGCGGACACATATGCGGAGTATGCATATTATACAATATCTTAGTTGGGCCGCCGAATGTAGCACCGCTGTTAATAGCATTAAATATCTGCCGATATCATTAGCAAGTAAAAAAACAATATCACAAAATGTACGTAAATTAGAACAAACACGAAGATTGGTTAAAACAGAAATCGCGGTAACTCCTTCACCAATCATCACTAAACTCAATACCAACCTTCCTTTATAATGACACTCTATCCATAAAAATTTCAGCTTAATTGATATCACAAAATTTACGGAAATTAGAGCAATCACGGAGATTTGATAAGATAGAAATCGGTAACCCCCCCCCCCTTTTAGAGACTTTAGATAAAAAATGGGACTCTATAAGCTATCGAATGACACCTTATTTATTTCTCTACAATTATTAGTTTCGCAGATATTAAAACGTTCAAAAGACATAGTTCTATATCAAAAACATGATATTACTACAAATATAAAGCCGCAAATATATAAAAAAAAAAGAATATGACGTATGAAGCAGGGACTTAGCTAGACTTACTTTTCATCTGTCTCGAAACTATGCGTCCTTCTTAATACCACATCGGATTCTCCACTAACTTTGTTTGGTGTTGTTGGTATCTTAATATTGTTATCCTTATCTTCGAGTTCTGTGAAATAATTACACAAATTTATTAAGAGCACATCTTAAAAATTTGTGAAACATAAACGCAACATTCGATGAACATACTTGTAGGTGCAGAATTAGTAGTATCAGTACTTTGCATTCTATTTCGAAAGGAACCTGAACGTCTCCAAGATGGTACAACACCGTCCTCGTTATTATCAGTCTGTTGTTTTGGAGGCAATATTGGAGCCTTAAAAAAAAAGGAAGCAAATAAATGTAAAATTATTCGAGAATACAAAATATATGTTAAAACGATTTGTGATCAAAACGAATGTTTTACCTGATTAGGAACTTTATTAGTTTCGACCGGAGATATTGGACTATGGGGTGCACTTTCATCCTTGTTTACTCTATTTTTCTTTTCTGTAAAATAATTGATCAAAAATTTTACTACAAAACTGTCAGTGTATCACAAAGAGAAGAGTATTTCAAGTTCAAGTCCAACTCTTTAAAGCAATAACCAATCCAGTAAGTTTCATTTAAAATACTTTATATAAAACTTTTATATAATACATGCAATAGCAAGCAGTAATTCATATCATCAGAAATAAGAAAGAAAAACAGTCTTACAGATCAAACTTACCGTCATCTGTAAGACATGTCGCGTGGTTAGACTTATCAGATTGATTGGAGAAAGTGGAAGAGTGTGATTCTGAGCTAGTCTCAGATTCACCTTCACCATCACTCTCTTCCATGTGTGTTTCACGTGTTGCTTCTGTCCATGCAGCAATGTTATAAGAAATACAGATTACAGTTAACAGTACATAAATTAGATTTGCAAAACTGGATAGACGATAGAATAGAGATTTGTGAGAAAGTTTGCAAAACATAATTATTCTCTTTCCTTTTTCTTCATAAAAGATAAACATGGAAGTTGCAGAGTAGAGTCATTTCGTATTAATTTCTTAAAAAAAAAGAAAAGAAAAAAATGTGTACGTGCGGATTAGATCGTGTACTGGAAGGAATGATACAAACAAAAATCTTACCAACGTCGCTGTTTGTACTAGTGCTGGAATCTTCTTTATCGGATTGAATCTCTAATTCAACCTTCTTAACTTTATTTGGCGTTTCCTCTTCAAAGATCTCGGTAGATTCTTGTGCCGCTACTGCGTTATCAGCACTCGTTGAGACACTGTAACATTTAGAAAGGGATATTAAAGGAAAAAATTAATAATTTATAATTATTATTTAAGATTGTTATGTTGCTCACCGTTTCTTTGGTATAGACGATTGCTTCTTATTATTTGTTTGTGGATTTTCTTTCACGATAAGTGCTTGTTGCTCTCTTAAGTTTTCAAGAGATTTGAGGATGTCTGCATCAGCAACATCGAAAGCAGTTTGATCCTAAAAGCGAGATACTGGTGAGAAAAGAATCAAGAAGTATCATGTAATTATATCTGTCAGCCAAAGATCCAGCCCGGATTCAAATTAAATTAATCTGAAGTCAGCCTGGAGCTAACTTGAAGCAATCTCGACCCAGTCTGTGATATACAATTATTATAAATGTTTATTCTCTTACAGCGTAATTTTTCATATCCATATCACAGCCATTCTCAACAAGAAGTTTGCAAGCTTCCAGTTGGCCCCAATGTGCCGCACCGTGCAAAGGCGTCCATCCATCAAAGTCCTGTGCATCAACATTGCATCGAGCTTGTAGTAATATTCTGCACAGAAGTATTAAAAGGAATCAATAGAAAGAATCAACTCCAAATCTACATATATCAGAATATTAATATATCAGAAAAATGGTTCAACTTTTAAAATAATTTCTAATGTTTTGTTGCAATGCGCGTATGTGTCCAATACAGATTTAACTTCCTCTGACTCATTAAGTGATATGCAAAATCAGATTATTTTATTTTTAATTAATATCTTACTGCATGACTTTGATGTAGCCTTTGGCGGCGGCGACATGGAGTGCGGTGGCTCCTGATCTCGGATGGATGGAATCTTTGCCTGGTGCACCTGCCCGCCAAGCTTTTGCGTCATTCAGCATTGATCTTTCCTCATCACTCCTCGCTTGATCACAATCAATACCTGCAAATAAAATTAGATATATTCGTTAGAAAAAATTTAATTTATTTCGCATATTCGATGATTTATTAATTTTTTAGCAAGCAACCAGTATTTCGCAAATATGTTTAACTGTGATTTTATCAGCGAATTTAATTGTACTTTAAAAAAGTCACTTTTAATAACAATATCTCAATACAGTTGTATACGAGTATTTATACGTGTGCAAAGTGTGAATAATGCACGGTTGCTTAAGAGAGTATTTCAGCACATTGTACGTAAAATTATATCAATAACATCACGAAAAGGGGTCAATGAAAGAGAACATCTTTGCCAACGTACGACTTGCTGTGTCTGAGCGTGCAAACCTCTAGCCGGATGTTGAGTTTTAGGTGCTTAATGTTTTACATGTCAATCCAGCTTCACGTATAAACATCTAACAGCTTTATAAAGAGCTTAGATAAAGAGGTGAATGATAAAACGGTGGCTAATTGCCACTTACGCAGTTAAATTTTAAAATTATCGCAGCAGAGCACTATTTCAGTACTAAGATTTCCAGCTCTGATTTTCCTCGGAAGTCTATAATTAAAAGTTTTACGCAACAGAGGCCTCAGACATCCTGCAGGTATACATATAAATACAAACCTGCTTTATTTATATGCTGTTGGAGCATGTCTTCCATCTCGTCGCTTTCTGCAATATCCAGCGCCAGTTCACCGTCATTGTTTACCGCTGCCAGATTACATCCTTGTTCTATTAGGTATCTGTAAAATACACAATTTCCCATTCATTGTAATAAACATTATTTTAGCACACTTATAGGTACAAAATCAGCGCATTTATAAATAAATTACGAATATAAAATATATAGAAAAAAAATATCTTTTCTACAATTTTGCAGAAAATTATACTAACTTAGCGATAGATATGAATCCGCAAGATGCTGTGGCATGTAAGGGCGTCCAGCCTTCATTATCTCCACGATTGATATCCGCTCCTTGTTCCACCAAAAACTCCACCATATCCAGGTCATCGTCAATGCAAGCCTGTTGTAATAATATAAGCGTGGAGTATAGCACGAATATATCGTACGCTGATTATATCAATGTGCGCGAATAGACGAGTTGAACGAGAGGGATGAAAAGCGTGCGCGATTGGCAAGATGTATTTCGAGGTCTCAACATCGAGACCGCTGATTTTGCTCGGTCTAGTCAAGTCTGGTCGCAATCCAAGGCTCGAATCGACGTTATGTTACAAATGCGCTGTTGAATTTTCGATTTGCATCATTACCTTTTATACCTCAACACGGAAATAATATCTCTGTACAATAATGGAATGTTTTATTACGAGACATATATAGTAAATTTGTATCATAAAGTTTACAAGATTTTTTAGAGAGATTAATTTTCAATATATTTTCAAACAGAATTGTAAAATAGAATTATAGGGGAAAAAAAGAAGATAAAACATGGTTGTCGTTTAATCACAAAATCTTTGCAGATATTTAACGTTCGGTAATCTTTTCGTAACAGATTACAGATTACACGGTACGTTAAAAGGTGTGAATTATTTTTCACGCGTACAAATTCCCGCGACTTCGATATTGCCGAGGTGAAAAAAGTTCGGTACATATTACAACATTGCTAGACACAGAGAATTTAAACTGAACACAGATGCTGCAGCCTGTGACTTCTAACAGAGAGCTATAAATAGCATTTGATGCCTGATGTATTTTCACATTCTATTTTCGCAAATCCATGAAATGCCTTAACTTCCTTCCTTCTCACTTAAATAACAGCCATAAATATCGGCTCGCGTTATGGAAAATGTTATTCCATTTAATAAGACTTGGATGTAAGGCTCTCCGCTACCACGTTTACCCGCCGCGAGTATATCTCTTTACGTTTACATGAATATATTGAACGATATTTTCACAGTTTTCTCAAGCTCTACTTCGAAACCGTCACGGCTGTTGATTAATTTAATTGGCAAATATGCATTAAGGAATACATTATTCAGAAAATATAAAACGAAATTATTGCATATTGCATTAAATATTATCTTTTGTGGTTGTAATTTTAAGATTACATCTTAAAAAATATCATGCTTTATATTATTTTAAATTATTTACGGTCTGTGAGATTTACGATTTACTTATATATTTAAATAATTACTTCTTTTCGGCCGGAATATAATTATTCCTTTCTTCTTCGCATCAGAAAAATTCTTACACGCTAACCGACCTTCTTCTCGTTAATGTATCCTCATTAATTACTTAGTACTGTAATAACCGTTATGGTATATGCGTGTATTATACAAGGTGTCCCGGATTACCCAGTTGCGTCCGCTTTCGGAAACACCCAGAAATAGATTGCTCGTAAAAGCTTGCCGCTCGCGAAAAAAAAAGTCGTTGCCGGTGTAACAAGAAAATTGCTACATAATCTCTAATCGTTAAGGCGTATCTCAGAATGACGTTACAGCTGCAAATACAAATTCTTTGAACATCAGCGTGTAAAATTAATTCTCTTTCCGACAAGGTTTCAATTTTAATGTCCTAATTTTTAATAACTAAAGCTTAGTTAGAAATAACTATGGCAATCGACTTATCCGAGGAGCAAAATAAGAGAAACATTTAGATGATAAAGCAAGTTTTTAAGTTATTAAGTAAATGTAAAAAACAACCATGCAATCCCAATTGAGTATACAACAAATCAAATATACAATTACGTACACAATTATATACATCCAATTTTAAGAGAATAACACTATATGTTGGACCAGCAATTATTTCATATTCCAACATTCCAGACATAAGTCGAAGACTATGTGGACACAATGTACAATAAAAATATGAAAATTTTCAACCATGCTTCATAAGGGAGAATAATTTCTACAAATTATAATTTCATAAAATAAATAAACATATTTTAATAAGCGTGAATATATAATATTTTAATAGGAAAACGAGATAAAATTAACAATAAAACATTGTTCATTAACAATAGCAATTAACTCTCCTTTAAAGATTTATTTAAGAACTGCAGTTGTCTTGTCAGGCAACGTGAAACTTGCAGAAGAGTAAATGTCTTCTGAGCAATATATCACTTTTAACTCGTTAAATTAAACGAATTAAATGAATGAATTTCTAGAAAGTAACTATAGATATTTCTGAGGAAAGATTAACGCCTCTCGGAATACATTTTATATATAAAATTCCGTCTTTTGTTTTTGCTTGCGTTTTTATGCACAATATGGATCTTAAGGTCTAACAAGTAACAAGATAGAACGAGATTTTACTGCGCCTTTATATATATATTTTTTTCTATATTACCTCTTTAAAAGAAACGAATAACATTGAAATCCTGACCAGACCAAACAAAATTACTGGCGAATAGATTACATTTAATCTCGGTTTAACTTACTTTCTATCTTTTTCTAGTTCTTATAGGAATTAGAAAAAGATAAGAAATGAGTCAAACCGAGATTAAAGTTAATCTACATTGGTGGAAGTGATGATCAATTAACAAAATGTCAGTCGCGTGTCAAGTGCCGAAGGAAAGGATCTGGTGAAAGAAAAAACAAAAGAGGATCTCGTGATAGAGTTCCAGGGTTTACTCCGATCGCGTGGTGGATACGGTCGAGTCACGGCGCCGGGGCGGCTCGGCTATACGTCAAAACGTCTCGCAACAAAGTTAGCATTTCGGTTACACAAGCGAGGACATTACCGCGCGTAAAACAGCCTCCTCACTAATGCACGGTAACGCGGGTAATTAACGGTCGGAAGCAGACGCCACCGTCGCCGCCGTCGCGTTTGCGATCAGCGTGGCGGGTCTCTTGACGGGATTCCAAGAGAGACCTGTTCCCCCCTTAACACCCGGCGCCAAGTCGAGTCGGCGAGAGAGTCGGTGGGAAAGGGGGAGGGGGCGCGTCGCGTATCCCCCTCGCTCGAACCCCTCGTCGGTACGCGAACACCCCCGCGAATAAATACTCGAATTAGATTGAATTAGACAGCTGGAGCTCGTATAGAAGCCATCTTGCAGAATTACGTTTTTCGAGAGAGGAAGAGAAAAAGGAAAGAAGGACTAGAAGGAGACGTCGAAGGAAACGCGGAAGGAAACGCAGAACGCGTTCGGAGCGGGATGGGAATAAGGGGAGAGGGGGGAGTTTGAAAGCTGTCAAAATCAGTAGGATGCCAGCGGAATGTCAGAGGGATGCCAGAGAAAGAGAAAGAGAAAGAAAGAGAGAGAGCTAACGACGCCCTTAACTACCTGGTGCAGCGCGGTGAGGCCGTCGACATTGCCGGTGTTGATGTTCGCCCCGTTCTGCAGCAGGCGCACGACCTCCTCCTTGTCGCTGGCCGCGCACGCCGCCAGGAACACGATGTCGGCGGAGAACTTGATCTTGCGCGCGACCTGCCGCGGCTGCGTGGGCTCGCGATTCGTCTCGGACTGCTCCCAGCGTTTGAGCTGTTCGGCACGCTTGAACAGGGCCGAGCTGGAACGTGTCTCGAGAGACATTGCCCCGACGACGGCGGCGGCGGCGAGGACGGCGGTGGCGGCGGCGGCGACGGCAGCGAAGAGAGGAGAAGAGAAGAGAAGAGAAAAAAAAAGTCACGACGCGCTCGGGCTCCGAGCGCCGCTCGCGCGCTCCTCTTCTCTCAAGGGGGCACGGCAGAGAGGCTGGCAGGCTGCTCCTATAATCGCTCCTCCTGTCGCGCGCACGGGCTCCTCTCCTTCTTCTCGCGCTTGGCACCCGCGCGCGGCCGCGCGCCACACATGCAAGCCGTCGGCGCACACGCGCACACGGTCACTCACTCATTCACTCGCTCGTTCGCTCCAGCTCGCGCTCGCGCTCGGCCCTCGCGCCGCTCTCTCTGGCTTCTTCTTCTTCTTGCCCTTGCCCGCGCGCGCCCTTTTCGGGTCTTCCACTTCGCTCGGTTCGTGTTTCCGACGATTACGACGATGACGGCGGCGGCGACCGCGCTACGTGAAGTTGAACACGCACGCACGCACGCATGCACGCACACAGTCGTACACTTTGCTTCACTGCGCGCGACACGGCACGTGAAACAGGCGTTTCCCGCGATTCTGCTCCATATATGAGAGAGCGGATCGCGCCCGGGGCCGTATTCCCATCCGCGTGTTTATTGTCGGGACGCGCGCGCCGGAGTCTTCAGGCCTTTTGACGGGGTTACCCGGAGGGAGCGGTCGTGCACGGGGTCGCCAGTCGCCAGTCGCCTTCCACAGTCGAACACCACACACCACCTCTGCTAGGCACTCATTTACGGAAACGGTTTAGACCAGCGTGCTACACGCTATTCTTGGCCGTCGCTCCCTCGCGCTCCGCGCCGGACGAGCTCGGAGTTCGAACACCGAAGCTCGGGCTCGCATCGTTGCCAACGTGCCGACTCTCTGGCGCCGACGACGAGACCGGCGTCTAGGGATTTCGAGCTGGCGATGTTCACGTTCTCTTATTGGATATTCGACATTAAAGTTTTTGAAACGAGGTCAAAGTTACAAAAGTGAACAGATTTATTAGATTTCGATAAAAGAAATCGTAGATAGTGGATTTCTTCACTTTTGTAATTTTCAGCTGTCCCCTTTTGGAGGATTGACGAAAAAATTTAATTTTGCTATAAATTGAGGCATTGCTGCGATTTAAAGTTACATTATTTCGTAAGAATTATGTAACATTACATTATGTTACATATTTTCTAAGAATTAGAAAAAGATAAGTGAAGTGAACTGAGATTAAAATTAATCTACATTGATAGCAATAAATATTAAAACTAGAAAGAGATAAAAAGTAAAATTAAATCAAGATTATATGGGCCGGTATCACAGTCTCCGATTAACGTTGATTAACGTGATCCTCCGATTAAACTCACTCTGCATCTCTTTCTAACTGTCCCCCTAGAAAGAGACGAAGAGTGAATTTAATCGGAGGATCACGTTAATCGGAGACTGTGATACCGGCCCTGTACCTTTAATCTAAACTAGTAAAAATGATATTCCAAAGTAAATATCCGAGAATCTATCGCTGCTTGAAGAAATGATTGCGAATATATCGAAAACATAACGAGAAACGACACGATCGATAGCCAATCATAGCCGTTGTCATAGATCTGTTCGCGTTGCCTGCACTTTTTTGCACTTTAATATCCTCGCTCTCTCTTTCTCCAACGTCCAATATATATTTATCTCGTTTTAAGTGCAGGCATTTTTGGGAATTTTCAACAACGCTCGAACAAATCTCCGTGCCGTCGCGTAACTACATTACGACGATGCACATTGCACCAGCCCATCAAGCTCATTATCTCGAGCAGCGTATATTTCATGCCGTAGTACTCGCTCTTTTTTTTCTCCTTCTTTACGCTTTTTTCACCGCCATGGGATAATTTTGATTTTCCCGAGACTCATCGTCGCGATCGAAGGTTAATTGTCCCGCCTTTAATTCTAAGCCAGGGGACCCGCTAGGATAATTCCGCGACGGAATTCCGAGAGCCCGAGCGCGCGACCCGCGGCCCAAAACGAGAAATGGATACCGAGCACGTACTGAGGAGCGACATCGGGCAATGCCTGAAATTGATAGTGTCGGGGAACGACGCGGCCGTCAGCGACGGCTGGCTGATGCTGCAGAATCTGCAGGAACGCGAATTCGGCCAGCTGACCGACTGCGAGGACACCCTGCGGGATGTCCTCAGGGGCGAGATAGCGAACGTGTCGCAGGTGGCCAAGATCATGGCCTGGATGTCGGGCCGCATCGCCGAGAAGCGTTTCAACATCAATCCCATATCGAACGACGTCGCCCATCTGCTGCGGAACACGAGGATCGACGATATGTCGCATCTCACGGAGATCCTCAACGCCCTCGCGGATCACCGGGCGTACCTGCCCAGGTCGGCGAATCACACGAAACTCTGCGAGGCGATAGTCACGAGCCTGTCCACCTTTCAGATGCCCTTGGAGCCGAAAAAAATATCCGAGTTCTACGACAACACCGCCAAGATCCAGCACTTTCTCAAGGCGCTCTGTTCGAACACAAAGAACGGCGAGCGTGACATTCTAATGTTTACCTGCCTCCAAACCCTGTACAATATCATATCGGACACAAACAGAAAGCCGGAACCCGGCCCGGGGCTCGCTGCCATATTGCAGCTGGTGGAAGCTTCCGTTATTCCACAGGCGGTCGACTGGATTCTGTCCCAGTCGCATACCGATCATCAGCTGATACAGGCCCTGAAAGTTCTGTGCAATTGGCTCCCGAAATGGCTTGAGGATCGACTCGGCGTTTGGATCATGGAGTTCATACGTGGCTTGGAGAAGCAGCACAAGTATTCCACCCTTCTCGAGCTTACGGAATCTTCGATAGACATGCTGGTGTTGATGTGCCGAGTGTTGCTGGTACCTGTGATCCGTCAAAACGCTTCCAACATTATATTTTACATCTTGAAGAGGCAGAGCTCGTTGTCGTTCGTACAGAATGTGGCCAAGAGGATACCGGCGTTGATAAAGGACCTGATGAAGGAAGATTCGGACTCCAGTAAGGAGTGCATACAGAATTTAGTCGACATCATGAAGGTATACAGCAAGAGATTTTCTACCTGCATACCTTGCGGAAACACAGAAAATTATCCTTTCCCCGTACTACCGAGAATGCAAGTCGTCAGAGAGCTCTACAGGGAGCCGGTGTGGATAGACGAGACAAAGGAATTTGAACCGATCGTGGAGCCGGAGAGGCCGTTGTCTGGCAAAGTCGGGCTGTCCAATCTCGGAAACACTTGCTATATGAATAGCGTTTTACAAGCCTTATTAATGACCCGACAGTTCTGCCAAGAAGTATTGAATTATCGTCCTCTGAACGAATCGGGTAAAACACCCCTGCTGGAGAAACTTCAAAATCTGTTTGCATTACTGTTGTATTCCAAGAGAATATGTTTAGCGCCAACTGAGGTATTGCGATCGTCGCGACCGACATATTTCTTACCTGGGCAGCAGCAGGACAGTTCAGAATTTCTCTGGTTAGTATATTACTCTTGTCCCCTATGAGCTTTTGCTTCAAATTATAATTAAAAAAATTTTTTATTTGTCATCTCTGCATATAAATGCAAATTTGGATATTAAGAAAGTTCATAAATCAATCAGTATAGTTGAATAAAATTTATTTTATGTTTATTCTACATTAATATAATCAATTGTTAATAAAAATTCTCTTTCCAGTCATCTTTTGGACGTTCTGCATGAGCAAGAGAAATCCGCCCATTCAAATTGTGGAGGAAACGATAGCGCAGCGAAATGCAAGATTGAGAAGCAGGAAGACGACGAGACGTTGTCGATGGAACCAACAAAAAGTATTATTAAACGTTGGACCACTGAAGAAGATCTAACAGAAGGCTTGGCCTTGCAACGGAAAACGCAATCATTGGCGGACTTTACACGAGGTGATTTTCTATATATATGGTTAAATAGATTGTAAGACATGCTTTCTCAAAGTCTCCCGATTTTACTGTTTGTATTTACATCTACATTCTGTATTTGACTTAAACATTTTGAATGTTTATTTTTTTTTGTAACAGGTGAAGAGCTAGGACAACGGCTTAGCGATTCTCATTCGGATTCGACTGACAGCGGTATACAATCCGTAGGTGGCGAAGAAACGGGCACATACACGTCTCTCGTACACAGAGTGCTGGGCGGAGAGTCCCAGATCACTCACCAATGCGCACAATGTGACACCAGTTCTCGCAACACGGACAAATTTCGCGACCTGCAGTTGTGCTTCCCCGAAGAGATACAGGAGAACCAAGAGGTTTCCGTTCAGGATCTCATCAACTATTATCTCACGCCGGAGAAGCTCACGGGGGAGAACAAGTATCGATGCGACAAGTGCACGAAATTATGCGACGCGCAGAGGATCATTACGATCTTGCAAGCGCCCGCGCACTTGATCCTAACGTTGAAACACTTTCGATACGACTTCGATTCACGATTAAGGACAAAACTTCGGCACAAAGTAGTATATAACGATACCATACAGTTGCCGGTGTCGGCGATACCGTACACCGTAGCGGAAACGTATCACTTGTATGCCGCTGTCGTTCATTCCGGATACAGTATGGATTACGGGCACTATTTCACGTACGCTTGCGATTCCAAGCAGACTTGGTACAAATTTAACGACAGTTTCGTAACGCAAACCACGTTCGAGGACTTCAAGAGCTTGAAACCTCCCGACACGCCCTATATATTGTTTTACGAAAAGTCGGGAGCCCATGACGGGCTCTACGAGGACGACAAGCCCGAATTGTCGACTCTAAGTAAACGTATTCAGGAATTGATAGCGAATGACACTACAGATTATATTGAGGAGCTGCGACGTCGAGCGATGGCGTCGCAACGTAGTCAACTTCCGGCAAAGCCTTTGAGACAGCATAACAATTCCGACGATGATAATCCGCCCCCCAGTAGCTGTCGCGGTGCAATCGACGTCCCGGCGAATCGGTTTCTTTATTGAATCTGTTACAACACGAACGGCGACGCATCTTGCCAATTGTAAACAACTCTGTATTTGTTCTAAGTATTTTATATATATATATACATAGATAAAAAAAAAAAAATCGCAATCAGCCTGTATAATCGCAGAAAGTCGCGTTTTATGGTTCTGTACCATATCGTATCGCTGTGGAAAATTTCATTAAGAATTGATATTAGATTTTACATCTTACGTTTACCAAGTGGAATACATATATCACTGTACATGTACATCACACTACTGTAACTCGACGATAGTTACGCTGTCCGGAAAGTAGTTATGCAGCTCTGCAAAATAGTGCGAAGTGCAATGATAACCAGAACTCGAATCTGTGCAAAACGGATATGTACATAACATATAAATGGATACACATACGAATGATAATTACACGAATGAGCAAATACGTTCATACATGTACGAGGGATGAAACGTATTAAGACTAAAAAACAAATTAGTGTTTTTATTTATTAATCGCTAATAATGTATTTGTATTATAATGTGTTCAGCATATTTTTAAATCAGTGTCTCTCGGTTGTTTTTAAATTTATGTATTATTGAGAAGAATTATACATTGGAACATCTCAAGTTTTATTTTTATCATTATTTCGTTTTTATAAAATTTTAAGTTAACTGAATGCGTGGGTGTATGCCTATGTGTGCGTGCGTATATGTGTGCACTATTAAATTATGTTTCCTTAAATACAACACTTTTTATTTTACCTCGGCAGATATATTAAACATTTTCGAAGCAACTATAATTTTATTACATGCGAAGTGTTATTAGTTTTTGTTATTTAATTATATAATTAATTTTTATATGATCAAAAAATTCAATATTATGTTTTTTTTATTTTTTTAAAAGTAAATTTTAGTATATTTATGTTCGTTTCGATGAAGCAGTTATTTATTTATTACATCTGGCGAAAGTTGTTCAGTCAGCATTTGAAGTACCTTGAAGAGAAAGTTTCTGAGAACATTTATTTTTTGTTTTCTTGAAAATAACTCGGTTAAATTATTTCTGAATTATTATTTCACTAGGAGTCAAAAATCAAGGGTGAGCAAATAGTAAGTGCCTCACTCTACGTATACAAGATGTTACAAGATTCTACCGATAAAAATCTTTTAGTGTTCTTTATCAATAGATATAATATTCCTGAAACTTTATGTCGGTAGAATTTTGTGAAATTCTGTATATGTTTCTATATATAAAGTGTAAAAATAAATTTCTCTCGATAATTAAGTAACTACAGTTCTATATATATAGCTAGTTACTTAATTTTATATATATATAATATTGTTGATGTTAATAAATAATCATCATAACATCGTTAAACTTGAAAATCGATCACTCGCAGATTTTATAATACATCGTAAATTTTACATATTTATTAAAGGAAGTGTCATCCACGGAATGTTTGTGCGAAGTTACCAGTGTTGTTACAAAAATGTTAAGGAAAAAAAAAGAGAAATACGATCATCGGCTGTGGTTCTTTGTACATACATGCGTTGTGTTATTACAAAACAGTATTTATTAAGTACAAGAGATATTACCTGATTTAACATTGTTGTAATTGTTACGTTGCGATTGCTTGTAAGCTTATTGAATGCACCTTGTCGTAAAAAAAACATAACTTATAAAATAAAATTAGCATAGTTAATAGGTACATGTATATATAATATGTATAAGCGTATGCGTCTTTTTACAATATAATATATGCGATGTTTGTCTAAATGTGCCACACTGAGCCTTTATTTATTATCATTCGATATTCATTGTTTCGTACTTATATTTAAAGTTGTGGATCTTCTTTCTAATTAACGAAGAGCGTATTTTTAAAAATAGTAATTGAACGTATAACACTATAATATTAGCACTCGTTTATAAGTTATAGCAAGATAAAAGTTCTTCACACGCTTTAAAATTACAAAAGTCGAGAGAATATATTTGTTTTATAAATAATTTGTTTTAATTATGAGGGTACCATGCAACATATACATTCCAAACTCTTCGTCAATCTGTGATAACTTTTTACTGTCGAATTGACAATATTAATTTTTGAAACTTATTATGGAAACGGATATACGCGGACTGTTTAGTTTTATTTATAATTAAAAATATACATATACTGTACAGCTTCTGTTAAGGCTGCAATATTCTAGCGGGTACGGTTAATGTTATACATATAATATTAAAATAATTAAATTATATTTGTGAAAGAGAGAAAAGAAAGATCCATGCATTTATTGTCAATGTCAACTAGAATTAATTGTGCGATATTTAATACCATTGGAATATAGTTCGCTGAAAGATTATAATGTAAGCTTATTAATTATAATAAATTTTCTACTAAAAATGTGACGAGATAATTATGTTGTTTTTGCACACCGCTGCCGTTTATTTATTCAAGACAGACAGATACGAGACATTCTGTGATAACGCGATAAAAAAGGAGTTAAAACAATAATATTATGCATTTAATAATATTTTTTAATGGAGTATCTTATTATTAAATATCTTATTATACATATAATAAGATATTTAATATGAATTCATACGTTATGCGCAATACGATATTTAATCATTAAGATCACATAACAATTCTTCATCTTCAGGCATCTCAAAAACATTTTTTTTTTTCTTAAATGTCTTAAAGACTTTATCATTAATGTCATAAAGTCGTTTTTCTGAACTTAATGACACGTTAGGAAAATTTTAGGACACGATAATGTTCCTTTTTGTTTGATAATGGCAATTTTATATCAAACTCTTGAAATGCTTTAATAGATAAAGGTGATATGATATTATCTACATCATTTTATACATCTTGGACAGTAGAACTCATCGTCACAAATTCAATCATTTAATATTTGTTCGCGGCGTGTGATTGTATTAAAAATATGAAGAAGGTATATCTCGCCGCTATAACTGGTATGTACACATTGGGATAATTACTGAACAAAAAGACATTTTTCGACAGAATTACTTGATATTCATTTAATTATTACGCAGAACTTAAACTTAACTTTTTTTATAACTTAAATTATAAACTCTTTTCTGTAACTAAACTTATTTATAAGTATAATAAAAGCTCAAAAGATTAAAAATCAATCAGAAAATCAAAAGCGTGGAGCCATAACAATGTATTTTTGTAGTATATTATTTATTACATCGCACATAGCTTGCCATTTCATCTAAGCAATTATAATCGCGTAAAAGAGTCACGGTGCGGTTTCGCTTCGCTTATACCTGGCGTGAGACTACCGTGTCTTTTGATTATTTATTAAATTATTTATTGAACAAGTGCAGATTTTATTATGCTAATTTTAAATTATTATATGTCTCTTAGCTGCATAAACGAAATTATTAGAATTAAAAGAATTTCACAAGTGAAATTATTGAATAAAGAATAATCTTTGTAAATAGGATCTATAAAAAATCTTTATAAAAATTGTTTTTTCTTTTATTTAATAAAAATTAATAAAATTACTGACATATATTAAATCCTCTTCGAAACTTATTATTTTAATAGGAAATCTCGGTATGCTGTCGGTCGGCCAATTTATCGGTTGGGGATCGCCATCCTTGCCTTTACTGATAAATGGTGGTGATGTTGACTATTCCGTACGTTTGAACCTCGAAGAAGCCTCTTGGGTGGTAGCCTTACTTTCTTTGGGTGCCGCCACGGGTTGCGTTATTTCTGCATTGATGGTGAATGTCATCGGCAGGAAGAACACCATGCTATTTACAGCTGTGCCCTCGATAATCGGCTGGTTGATGATAGTCTTCGCAACATCAACGTGGGTAATAATTGCTACATATTCATCTAGGTACATCCGAGTACTTTCTACAAAATGATATGCCGGATGTGTAAAAGAGCATTGCAAGTCGAAAATTAAAATATTTGTGTGATGGGTAACACTTTCTGTACATATATCGTATGTATAAGATATAATTGTCGTAAAATTCTAAGCGCCTCAATTAATCAGATCAAATTAAGATTCAGATAAAACTGATAACGTACGCTTCATAGATAATACATTGTTAGCAATAACGTAAATTTTTCATGTGACTAATTGTTGTATACGATTTTTTCGTAGATTGTTATCGATTTTATCAAACATGTTATAATAGAATAATAAATGCTCACGATTTATTACACATTTTAAGATAACGATGACAACATGAGTTTATTAAAGTGTCCATAAAATTTAAACTAAAACTGATTTTTAAATTAAATTAATCACAAATATGGGGTTTTTAACTGTGTATATAGAAGCAAAAAAAGAGATTCATAGTATCATCTTGAATAAGTTTCCCGAGATAGGGACCAATTTGGATCGTTCAATACCTTTATCATCTCTTTTCTGCTTCGCAGGAGCTATACATATCGAGGTTTACATCCGGACTGGGAATGGGCATCGCTTATACAGTCACGCCGATGTATTTGGGCGAAATATCGCCGGCAGATATCCGCGGTAATTTAGGATCCATGCTGACGGTTGCTGTGAAACTCGGCACTTCGATCGAGTTCATAATAGGCCCGTTTCTTTCGGTGAGAAATCTCGCCCTCGTCTCTTTGGCGGTCCCGTGCTTGTTTGTGGTAGCTTTTGTCTGGCTACCGGAATCCCCGTACCACTTGATGCGCTGCGACAACAAACAGAAAGCTATAAACTCTCTTGTTCAATTGAGAGGCAAAAAGGACGTTTACAAAGAAGCGGACAGTATCGAGCAATCCGTAAAGACTGATTTGGCTAATGAAGCTGGTTTCCGTGAGCTCCTATTTGTGCCAGGAAATCGCAGGTATGACGTCAAATTTCAATCTGTCGTCGCGTCAGCGAATCAATATGAAACTTTAAAATAAGATTCCTTGCTGTAGCACGAATAAGTAAATAACTATAGATATCAGATTTAAAAATTTTACTAATAATTATTACAAAATCGTTTTTCTTTTTAATGAGTCATATTTCAATAAAGTTAAAACTATCGTTCTCTGATAACAGAAGGATGCAATTGATAATTGGTCCGAATGATTTTTACAGAGCCTTAATAACGTTAGTGTGTCTGGGCATGACTCAACAGTTGAGCGGCTCGCAAGCCGTGTTGCAGTATGCTCAAATGATTTTCGATCAGGCAAACGGTAATCTGGAAGGCAAGTACTTGACTATGATACTGGGCGCCGTGCAGATAGTCTGCTCGATCGTCTGCATGACGATCACCGATTGCAGCGGCAGGAAGTCATTGCTGACGATCTCCGCTGTCGGTTCGGCCTGCTCCACCGCCATGGTCGCGACGTACTTTAATCTTCGATATAATCACGTGGATACCAGCAAAATCGTGTGGTTGCCCGCCACCGGCGTGATTCTGTACGTGGTCATGTACGCCCTGGGCCTGGCGGCGTTACCGTTCACCATGGCCGGCGAATTGTTCCCCACGAACGTGAAGGCCCTCGGCAATATGATAGGCATAACGACGACGCATGTCACGGCCTTTGTCGTGACGAAATTGTACCCAGTCATAAGCGAGGGTGCCGGTGTGCACTCGCCATTCTGGATATTCACCGCATGCAGTCTCGCCGGTGCTTTATTCACGCTTCTTTATGTACCTGAGACCAAAGGCAGGACACTGGAGCAGATACAGGAGAAATTGCACGGTTTGTCGAAACAGGGAGGAGTCGAGAATGGGGTATCTCCGCATGTCAATCATCCATCGACGAATATTTGAAGAATATTTGCGAATTCTAATAGTTGGATAAATAAAAAAAGACTCGCGATATAATGAAAATAATAAGTAACAAGTACAAAGGAGCCTTGAAGAATTTAACGCGGAAGTTTTTATCTAAGACTACTATGACACTGCCCTTATCAGCTCTGGTAAAAATAATATCTGCATTGTTGCTGGAGGAAATGTTTAATGGATACATTAACTTGAAGAGTGTTGAGTTAATAGAATTATTGTTAGAAAAAATACCAACAAGCATACATATTGTTTGGTTAGGCACGATAGCATTTTATCAAATGTATATCCCTTATAGAAATTTAATACTGTAAGTGATTTTTTGGCTAGTAATTAATCATTTAAAAACATTATTAAAAGCACTGTTAATAGTGCTTTTAATAGTGCTTTTAAATGATTAATCACTAGCCAAAAAATCACTTACAGTATTAAATTTCTATAAGGGATCTATGACTGATGCCATTTAGTTTTGAGTTTATTTTTAGTAGAATATTTCTTACTGTCGTTATTTGTTTATACGGAAGAAAGTAATGTGTAATATTTTATAGAAAAAAAATTTGCCGCTTATCTTTTGAATTAATTACTTTTTAAATCTCTGTGAATATATATAGACTTCCAGCACTGGAAATCTATAGTACATACACATAACGTATACTATAGATTTTCAGCGCTGGCAATGAATTTAGAAACTCAGACATTCTTTAATTCATTATCTGATATGAAAAGCGCCGTTTATAATTTTAACTGCGATGATTTATTTTACTTCGAATTTTCGATTTGTTTTAAGATATTTATATAGCGGAATTATTTCATATTTCTTTAGCAAACTTTGTATATATTCGCTTGTCTCTAATGTCTTCAATGTTGCAGAGTTATGGTATCACGATGCGAAGAAAACTAAATTAATAAATTTTATCATTTATTTATAACTGCGTTTATTTCATTTTCTTTTCAATAGTATCTTCTTTACCTTTATATTTCTTCTTCTGCAGTCTACTTTCTTCTTAATTTTAATTTCTTAACATTTCTGCATTTATTAACAAATTTCCTCAAATTTATTCTTTTTTCTTTGATTACCTATCATCTCGAGCACTGAGAAATTTCTAACTCTTTTCTTGCGAATATTGTTATAAAATAGGGCAAGGAGATAAGTAAATATCTGTATTAAGTTTTTTTTTTACACAAAAAATACAAAGTTGATATACATTTACACAATGACAGTACAGGAGATCATACAGTAATCACATATATATATATTGATATCGTTAATATAAAAATAACAAAATGTTATTGAACTCAAGGTATTGGTTTCAATTTCATCTTTATTAATATTTAACGTCCGACGGAATCGTGCTTGGGGACGATTTTCGAGTCGGGATTTCTTCGGGACGCGACGAAAAAACCTCGAATGACTTTTTTTTCGTCGAACGCAGCGCGCGTAAACAAGCTCTTGGCGCGCGAAATTCCTGGAAGCCGGTGTCCGCGCGAGCGAATCATCAATCGCGCTGCACTTCAGGGGGGTGCGAGCGGGGTGCGCACTGCGCTCCCGGCAGTCCGTTGTCCATTCGGCCGCCCGCTGGATCGCGGTCGATCGCGATCGCTCCGCGTTTCTCGTCGTCGTTTACCCGGTTTACTCTTCCGCGACGTGTTTCGCGGCCGGATCTTTTAACAGTCAATCGCCCCGGCGCGGGCGCGGGTCCGTGAACGTACGTGAACGAACGCGATCGACACAACGTTCGATACGCTCATCGCTCGAGTGACCGAGGTCCGAGCGAATCGCCATTGTTACGCTTCATTACTCCTATTTTATCGCGCTCGCGCGTCGATGGTGAATCTCGCGTATTTGACGTACGAACGTCGAGAGTGCCGAGTTCAGTGAAGGGTAATCGTCTCGGGTGCGTTAATCAACGCGGGCAAGTGTAATTAGTGTCGGCAGAGATTCGTTGACCAACGAGACGACCCGTCGGATCGTGTAGAGACGTCATGAAGTTGGTCGGAGTCGGAGTCCGTCATCGGAGTCGGTCGGAGTTTGTGTGCCCGGGTGTCGCGAGAGCGAGGATCGAGTATCGACGCCATCGACGGGGACTGACAGGATCATCGAGGGATCGCCGAGAAGGATTACGAATTACGAAGAATTACGAGGTTGGTCACTTTTAGTCGGCGTCATCCGTCATATTCGTCATAATCGCGTGATTTTCAAGCAGTTTCCCATTATCTTATGAAGATTTATTTGTACATATTTGCTGTACATCATCCCATTGAACGTTATGTAATCGATATACTGTCTATTCGGCTGTCGCCATTATACAGAGAAATTTGAATTAATATTTTGTTTTATCACACTTAATATCAGAATTATAGTGTTGGCACTGTGTAAATAACAGCGCCGTCGTTCGGTGACGTCGGGAATACCATAACTTCGAGTTCCGCTCGGTCCTTTGTGCTGTTTTGACAAAGATACTCTCGGAGATCTTCCACGAATTTCTGAACTCTGTTTTTATCGACGAGCGCCACGATACAGCCGCCCCAACTGCAATACGGAAATTTCACTTTCATTATGGGGCATAAAAGTGACAATAATGTGTGTGTGTGTGTGTGTGTGTGTGTGTGTGTGTGTGTGTGAAATTAATACAAAATAAAATAACATTGAGTAAATTATTAATATATAATATCCGATAAATTTTCCCTCGTTACAAAAAGCATTTGGCACAGCAGAGAATTCAATCTAGAGATAATTTACACTTTTTTGCCGCGTACGAGAAACTATTATAGCGTTTTATCTCGGTGTAATAATATACTTGCCCTGCTCCTGTGAGTCGAGCGCCAAATGCACCGCAAAGCATGGCCTTTTCGACGAGCGCATCCACACTAGGATGGCTGCACTCGTACAATTTACGGAGACTGGTGTGGCTCTCCGACATCAGGTTGCCTAGTTCTTGAAGCGTCTTGTCTCCTCTACATGTGTCATAACGAGGGTTTTCCTTGTTTATACGGCAGAACGCGCGTACTCTACCGGCCTCTGTGATGTAAAAGCAGTGGTGCAGTTAATTAATCGAGGCGAGTTTATTGGCCATCGCGCTTTTCAACATGGTAAATGATTCAATGTAACATTTAACAGGTATTTGCAGAGTGTTTAATGTGACGCTAATTGGATTCGACGTTAATTAATACGCGCGTAGAATTTGTTGTTGGAAAAGGGACAGCTATAAGTAAATAGAAGAGAAATGAATATAAATTTTAAATATTTCATGACCAGATTATTTTTTTGTACGATTAAGTTTCTGCGGCATTTAAGTTTAGGATTCATATCGGTGTTCAAATCGTGTAAAAGTCGCAATTGATATATGTCCCGCAAGATCATTCATAGAACAATGTATATGATTGATTATAATTATCGGTGCAGTGTCGTGCACAAAATCAGGAGGTACTTCGGAGACTCGATCTGTAACTTTTCACGTTGTTTTTCCGCCGTTGATGGTATAGTATTGACACACAGATAAGATGGAAAATATTTAAATACTTTTATAACACAGTTAACACACAAGACAAACAAAGTTGAACTTCTAACTTTTTTAATAGTACATCTTCGAACGTTTTTTTTCTCAATGAGCGCGAAGTTTGCGGGAAAATGTAACGTGGTCTTTGTTCGCCCGGAAAGAATTAAGAATATATTGGAATATAAAAATAAGGAAGAGTTTAAGCTCTTTTGATTTATCGGATTTAAAATCGCGTTTTGTGATTTAATAGCGCATGAAAATTGATGCTTTTACCTTGATAAACGTGCAGAGCCCGCTGTTGCAACTTGAACGTTTGCGAACTATTAAAGGAACTGACGAGAGGCGTTCTTTTCTTCAATTGTTCGTAATTCATACCGAGGCTCTCACAGATCTACGAGAAAAATATACCATCGATAATGGTCCTTTGATTCATCGTTAACGACAAGACATTCGCTAGACATCAATTTATTTAACACGATTGAATAATTCATGTAAAATATTTTTTATCCTCTTTATTATTTTTTATATCACGATTTATGAAATTTTTTGGCGCGTTTCTTTAATGATCTTTATTAAGATCTATGCTCCCCCTTGAGAACTGTACAGAAGAAAAAAAACTCTCTTTATTTATTGCGTAACAATATAGTGTACCTCATCAATAGTATACGGTTCTTCGTGCAGTTCTGTCATTACTACAGTAACCATCTCGTCCAAGTCTAAGCGGAGTATCTCCTGAATTGCCATTAAACTTTGAACACTTTCCCAATATTTACTCCAGTCCATATTGGGATCCATATTGGAATCCACACTGGAATCCATATTGGGACCCATATTGGAACGATATACATAACTCTTGAATATTTCTTTCATATTTCTTTTCTTGGCTATCATCTAAACACAAATGAGAGATTTTACTCATTATCAATTGGGGAAAGGGAGATCGCAATGTGAGAGTGATGAATAATATAATTAATTGCATATTTTCGTGAAACTTTTATTTCTCCTTTTACATTATTATGTCCTTAAATGAAGAATATCTTTAGAAA